GTGTTCCACCGAAATGCATGGTGGGAATACGAAAAATGGGACGCCCCCTACAGCTGGATCTAAAAAAAACTTGTTCCAAACTTTTGTTACCAAGTCGTCGCGTATTTTATTATCAATTCTCAACAAAGATACTAGATATAAAAACAAACTGGAATAGCACCCAGACAGTGACATCGGTGAATACATAACCTCCTTGGTGGCGGTAGAAATCGTTGCTATATCCAAACAATACACAAAACAATTAAAGCATAATCATGAATCAGTTAAGAATAAAACAAAAATACAGCGCAGAATCGCATGCCCTTACGCACTCTTAGTGAAAAAGTTTTCCTCCATTAGTGGAAAAGGAAGGGCGCCTTTTGCGTCTGGATATACTTAGCAACAGAAGCGCGCCCTGTACGTTGGGCACGAAGTATGGGAAACTTGCATGGTAAAAAGAAGGGCGCCGCCTACGTTGGGCACGACTTCCGCCTCATTTTTACAATGCGAGAACTCTATCTTGTATTTCTAGTATCTTTGTTAAGACCCAGTAGTTGTATGCAACCTTTGGTCAGGTGCACACAAAGCCCTTCTTTGACCTGCTGAATACTTTTCTATGTTCTCTGTTTTTAAAAGGGAAAAATCCATTCCAATTTCATTATCATCACCTTTAGATTTTTAGATGCTCTGTTGTATTGTGTATGCTTTGCAGCATGTATGTAGTGCCTGTGTAGAGGTAATAACTGTTAGCTCTTGCATTTTGAAATTTATATATTAAAATGATGATATAAGTGACACTGACAGAAATATGTAACATTTTTCACCTTTTTGAAAGTTAATTTTCTTGTTTGTATCAACTAACTTTTTGAAACGTGGGGATATTTTGTTGCAAATGTTCCATTTGTGGTTTGTTTTTATGATGCAAAATGCATTGAAACTTGTGTTGCATGTTGTTTATAGTTTGTCTGTTATGTCACTAACATTTGTCTCTATACATACATGTTGCCTACATTGTTTCCAAAGTTTGCTTTCAGTACACACATACTGTAGCCTACAGTACTTTGTTGTCAATATTTGTCTCCATCCACACATACAGTATATTAGTTTGTACAATCATACTCATTAGCATTCATTGCCCACATTATTGGCAACATTTTTCCATTGCATACAATGTTGTCAACATTTTTTTAATCTACATTTGATGTCTACATGTTCTGTCCAGATAAACTGTTGTTATATATCCATATAGAGTCATGATGTGCCTATATATGGTAATGATGTGATGACATCATGGTTATATTTAGGTATGTCACATAAAATTTGATAGTGTGGACTGGGATTAAGCAACGATACTCCATTAGTACAAGGTGCAAGGATATCAAAATGTGATTCCTTCCAGTTCTACACATCTTGCTAACATTTACTTTCATTCAGTCAGTCACATATTTTCTTATGATTATTCTTATAACATAGTATTATTTGAAGGCTTGCATGGCAAATATACAGTGAATACTTGTGGTACCATACATGGATATTCTTGAAATGTAGTACTGTACTAAGAGTTTAGAATAGCTTTATTAGATTTCTCTTTATTCCTGTTCCGGAGTTGAGATAATCTCAACTCTTTAAGAGCTCAATGTAGAAATACTGTATCACATGTGGTGTTCTGCAAATAATCGCTATTTTTGCTTGAACTTATTTCTCTTAATATAATGGTTATGTTGACTAACAGTAACAATGTGATGTACAGTAAGATGCTGACCTCTAACAAATAATAAAAATAAATATGATTTATATAGCACACATGTCCACTTTAGAAAGTGCTCAAGGTGCTACAGAGGGAGCATGAAAACAATGAAACTAGAAAGCATGGAAATTAACTAATGAAATGTTCTCATGTATGCTTGCAAAACCTATGATTATTGGTGTGAGTGTGGATTGTTTGCATGTATTGTGTGGGTGTCTGTAACGGCTCCCTTTTGTAAAGTAAATGTTTTAAATTGTCTAATTCCAATTATATTTTACAAGTACAGTATTATCATATTATTCTATACAATAACTATGAAGATATAATAGTGATTTTGAAGATTTATGGTAAATATTGATAATAATGAAATAAACAATACAAAATTAGGAGAGTCTAATATTTAGTTCAACAACACTTAAAAAAAATTAGAAATGAAATGTTTCAATTCTTGCTCTGAAAAGTGTCTCTCTCTAAAAGGATATCTATCCACAATCTTCTTAATTCCAAGCCATGTAGGGCAAAAACATTATTGCTAGTGTCTTCTTCCCCATTTTATGACTGTTAACAATGTCAGGTTTATTGGAATCACCCAACAGGAGAGCAAGGTCACTTCAAGATGAAGCCAAATTGAACAGTAGAAAATAATCTAAAATCATTTTTCAAATCATTACTAAAGACAGTTCTAAATTTGCAGCCAAACCACCATCCTCCCATCCAATTATTTATGTCCCCATTCCCTTCCTTTAAATGCTATATACCGTAAATGTTTGAATAAGTGCCACTCTCGAATAAGCGCCGCACCAAACCAAAAGTATATTATTGCCCTATGTGCAATTAAGCACTGAAGCCTCCACAAATTTTATAAGTGCTGCAGCGCTTATCTGACCATTTACAGTAATGCCAATTTTTGCCTCTCGACTAAAACTGACTCCACCTGCCTAAGCCTCTTAGACTTAGTTCGAAGTGTTAACTCTTTTATCCTGTTAAGTGGAGAGTGACTGAAAGATGAGAAATGCATTGAGAAAAAATGATTAGTATAAAAAAAATTAAATTACTTGAACAGATTGTGGGTTATTCCATTCAAGATAATCATTTCCCTTTGTCATCTTAATTCAATCACCCTTCATACTAGCCAAGGTTTTGTTGTTGTGATAGGCCTACCCCCTTTTATTTTTCAATGAGTAATCTTGCTAAATTTACCATCAGTTGCAGTCCACTGTTTTATCACGTTTTTTGCACATGTCATATTCCTCTTAATCAAGGTCATCATTTATACATGTCAAAGCATAGGAGATCCCAGACAGGCTGTTTTTTAAATTGGTTTTGTGAATCTTATTAAAGGGGTTGGTTGTAAGTATGAAATCTTCATTCCCTACGCCATTGTGATAAGAAAAAAAAACTTGATCATGACTCCGGTCAATTTAAAAAAAAAATCATGTTTTGATTTATTTCTGCATCTTTTTTGTGGGGGGTTGGGAGGGAGGTGGTGGAGCAGCAATCCCTTTTTTTTTCTATTGCAAAATAATCAGAAGATCCTATAGGAATCCAATCATTCTCATATTAAGTAATGGTGTCTATGCCTGGCATACTGTAGACCTACAGATATACCAACATCAAATAGACCTCATGCCTGATGTCCAAATATATTTTAAATAGTGATGCCTAAATTAAATAAAATAATACAATATACTACTAAACAATAAAAGCTCCTGATCATTCTCTTTCTTTAAAGATACACCATCTTTAATAAGCTAAAAAATTAAATTGCAAACTATAATGAAAAAAATTATTATTCCCCTAACGGACATAAGTATAACTTTCCTAGATTATTTTGCATAACCTCATTTTAAGGATTTAAACTTTGTAATTTTTGAAACTAATTTTAATCTTTTAATGAACAGATATCTTGAAAATAAACACTCATGAAAAACTTGGTTAGCTTTTTTTGGCAATAAAATTTTTTGTATGTAAATTTAAACACTCATTTTCTCAATGCTATTGTTACTGTCCTGTAAACTTTAGTTGAAAATCTGAAATCAGTTCAAAATTTATTTTCCCAAGAGATTGAATGGTATTTATAAAACAAGGTCTTTTTATTGAACATTATTAGCAACACTCATCTCAATATTATTTGCAATGATATATGATATATAGTATATCAAAATAATATTTCTGAATGTAATGCAAAAATATGTACAGTAATACAGTAAAACAAATTTATTTCGGATTGCTATGTTTTAAGTGCGTCTTAATATGGTGGACATACAGATAATATACAACAGTACAGTAAGAAAGATATATTTCTAAAATCTATAAGTAGTTTCAATAATTTCTAAAATATATAAATATTTTTCAAATAGTGGTGAAATTGATGGTTGCAACTTATCTACTAGTTTCAAGAATTTCTTATCTGGAAAATAATAATTAGCATTATAAGTCAATCGTGACATCATCAATGCAACTCCCAATGTTATTTGCCTATCCCCCACAGTCCAATAATTTTTCAAAGTGGATGCTTGGCTTGATTTTTTTTTTAGGTTTGTGTAGAAAAAAATAAATTCCTCATTTTTTCGTCACCACAAAGATATCGCATAGCGTGATGAATATTGAATTGTAATTTTAAAAATTACTTTCGTAAAACAAGGTTAATTAGAACCCGTCCTACTAGCCTAGGCTAGGCCTAGGTCGTAGCCTAGCATTGTTATGAAATCATCGCACAATTTTTACCTGTCTGCTCCAACCAAAAATTCAGTAACTGTATTATCTTTCTAATTCTTTAAAATGTTTATTTCTCTGACGAATGTCTATCAAAATAGCATTACAAACAAGTTATTCTAACACAATAGGCCTGCAAATTACAATAGTTATTCATCGTGTCCGTACTGACTACTGTTGATGTACGTGTAGTTAACACGTATTACAGGGGCACAAATTTAATCAGCATACACGTACAGCTAGGTAAATGTAAATATGCACATAGTATACTGATCATATCATTGTAGCATCCGATGACTGCTACAACAGTTGGTTATCAAAACCAACATTAAAACACATCGATTGACTTTATAAAGCAATTAGTAGAGCATGCATCGTACACTAGCGGAAAATTATTATACTTAAGTTACTTGATTGTGCTTATTTTTTAGTCTACTATTTTTCATCTCTGTGATTTGCATTGATTTCATAACTTGTATGTGGACTGAATGATTAATTGTGTTAATTGGTTGCTTGATTAATTAATTTATGTAATTTCTTACTAATTGTTTTACTAACTGTTTTATTGATGTATGATGTAATTAGGATATTAAGTAATGAATTGGTTTCTGTTATTTCACTGTCAGAACATTGCCTATGCATGCTTTTCACTAAATAGGAGGATAAATTGACTATATTTTTATGTCATACTTTTGGATTTTATTTTCAGGAAAATGGCTCTGATAAAGGCAAACCATGGTGGAAACACTTAATAGGTAGACACACTTTATGGTACTACATATATACATAGGTGTATAACATTTTTTTTTTGATATTTTGTTGTTATATTTAAAAAAATCTTCAATAATCTATATCTATCAAAGGATCAAGTAATTTATCGGATTTTCGTATATTTATAGACTTTTTTCTACAAAAAATCCTTGAATTGTACCACTTACATTTTGACTGATTTGTGAGCAATTTTAATGATTGTTATTCTTACAGGAAGTAGAAAACCAAAGAATCGAACAACCAAGGAGGAGGCGAAAGATCTGGGAGAAAAACGGAAGAAGAGTTCAAGTACCGAGGGAATCCAGATCACTGGTATTAGTAACCACGGCTTACAAGATGTCTATAGTCAGGGTAACATTACCATCTATTTTATATATGTTTATTTTATTTTATTTTTTTTCTTCAATTTTATATTGTATATACATTGTCACAGTATCTGCTACAAATGAATGTCTATTAATATCTTTATAATAATAATTTTTCTAATTAAAGTCCAAAGCTGCTAAAGTCCATGAAAACCCCGGACCCAAATGTGGTTTTTAGTTGGAGGGAGAATATAGCAACTATACTATTCCTACATCTACATGTAGCTTACTTAACATACTGGTTTTTTATAGTTTTTTCTTAGCATAATGCTGGATTTCAATGCACTATATCTCTTTTATATCTGTTTCTTGCTTCCTTCACAAGTACATCACGAATTACAAAATAATACCTCACACCAAAGAGTATAAATAGAACAAGAGAGCTACAACGTTCATTGAGAGCGAAAAAAAAACGATACGCCCTACGCAGCTAGTGTAGGACGCCAACTAACGCTTGTATGTTTTTTATTACCCAGTACTCCACCGCGCACGGTCGGTTTGTCTGTTTGTCTGTTCTCCACAAGATACTGTACTTTTGTTTTCTGCTTACTGAGTTTATAGCGGGCGTGCTTCTACCGCGCTGCGCAGCGCTGCACTGGGTAATAAAAAGAACATACAACCGTTAGTGGGCGTCCTACACAGGCGTGACGTTTTTACAAACAGGACTTTGCTCTCTTGTTCTATTTATACTCTTTGCTCACACACACCGACAGTCACAGATGAGTGAATTCGTTCTGCGTTCTCGTTCTACATTCATAATCAAATTATCCTTATTGAAGAAGCTGATACCCACCCCCATACTCCCAATTCTTCTGTCTTCCCAACAGCTGCATCATGATTTTTTTTTTTATGTGATCAGAATAATTCTTTACTGTTTATTTAGATGATGGCAATATTGGTATGATGTCATCGTCAGTACCTGATACTACAAGTGAAGATATTTTAGATAAGTACCGTGGTCTCGGCAAAACGCAATCACATGATCACTTAGCAGACGTAGATGAAGCAGGTAATGTAACCAATGAGGGCAGCAAACTGACATTTTTTTTATTTTAGTTTCCAATAGCCAACTCACATTTCAACACCACAGACCAGATTACATATGTAAGCTTGTATAATGCTACTAAGTACCTAATTAGATTTCAGATCCTAAAATATATGCTGCATTTACATTCCTTAAAATTCTTTAGAAAAATCTTTTCTATATTTGAGGGGTATTATATAAAAATAGGTGATGATTATGCATGTACATTTAATAAATATTCATGACATTTTACTTGTAGCAGTTTCGCTATTTTGTATTTAAGTATTACCATAAAAGCTAATATGAAATACAATGTGTGTACTGAATCGTATAGACCATTGTAAAATTTTGGTGTCTGGTTCACATTTATCTGCTGCTCTTCTCGTTTTTAACATGGAGCTCTGAAATGCAAGCATAAAAAAGCTCATCTTTCAGAATACAGAATAACCTATTGATTTTTTGTGCAATATGACCCATGTGCATGTTAAAGAAGAAATATTTTCTTTGGAAAAGAATAAGAGATTGTCTCCCAGTGTGCTGTCCAGTCACCACCAGAAGGATCCCACTGGAAATATATTTTCGGACATTAGTGGGTCAAATTCTCATGTTCACATCAAATAAATTCATTCCCGTGCTCAATTGGAACAAGCAAAATGTGGCAGCAATGTTAAAGTATGGGTAATCATTCAGGTCTTGTCTTAATTTGTGCATTCATACAGGTGGCTTTAAGGGAGGTGTTCTAAATGGGACCATGCCAGAAAATAATTGATTAGAAATCATTCTCATAATCCACTCCAATTTTAAATTTTTTTATTTTTTTCTACAGACAATTTGCTTTCATTTGGCATGGTCCAAGATCGTCAACAATCCATGAGCGATCAAGACGGTCAGTCGATTGACAGTGATCTCGAGTCATCATACTCTTTCCAGGACGCAAAGCGTAAACTGCGTATCGTCTTGTGTGCCGCTGACTTCCACACGCTTCCCTGGCTGACAAACTTCTCACACAGGCACCGTGCACGCTCCATTATCGGGAGCATCATACAAAAGGACATCTCTAGCTATCCTGAGAATGAGCTGATTGCTTTTCTGAAAGTTCAGTTAGCTGAGGCTATCAACTTGCAGAACAAATCGCTGATAGCCCAGCTGCATGAAACGCTGAGATGTGTGGCCAGCTTTGATGATGACACGTAAGTCATGCCCTAACACATCTTTGCATTTATGATAAACGTGTCAAATAACTTTTCATAGGAAAATAATAATAATAATAATAATAATAACAACAACAATTTGGGGAGCCCATCCACTCTTTGTTCAGCTATTTTTTTCTTGCTGCTGGGTAAACATCCATCTCCCACCCAAGGCTAAGGCCCGTAGATAGGGTTGCCGGTTAATTTTGTTAAAGGGAAACTATGCTGAAAGCATGTTCGCTCATGGTAACTTAGTTCTGGGGTTGAGTTTGCTAAGAGAAAGCTTTACTACTCTGTTAGCCGTTAATTCTTTAAACAGGAGTAATTTTTGCAAAACAATGTTTCTTGGGGCAGATTCAGCTCCATATTATTGATTTTCATGGCAGTGAGCTATATTGGCACATGACTTAAACCATCTTAAGAGCCATTTTATGTTACTTTCTCTTTAAGGTCATTAAAGTGTTTCATTCCCTACCGTCAGTTTTATTCTGTCTTATCTTTCATTAGTTCTAAAAGGCTGGTAGCATCATTGACTGAAGACTATGAGAATCGCAGCCCGTACATCTGTTACTTGGTGTTGTCTCGTAAAGGATTAATTGCTTCCAAGTCGCACCTTGAGAGGCTCTTAGAACGAGTTGAAAGGTAGGTGTTAAAGAATAGAAAACCAGAGGTACATTACTAGGTCTATACATACATATTAGCAGTAACAAAAAATAACATCTTATTCTATGAGATTACTTACATATGGTTGAAATCGTGTAAATATGGGTATCTATAACCAAGCATAGACATCTAGGCCTAGGTTCACGTATGTTTCGCTTTGACAACCAGCTGTCTAAAGAAATTAAAATGTTCGAGAAAAAGTTTTCGATCACGTGACTAAATGACGCTCGCTGATTATTCGGTTTATCTGTCAATCAAATCTCGTTGAGATGTTAATTGAAAACTACCTCCAATTAAAGAGCACTTTTCCTTTGTGCTATATTAACAAATGTCTATTATCTTTATTTTTCTAATTAGAAACTAAAGCTGCTAAAGATCACGGAAACACCAGTACCAAAAGTGGACTCTAATTGGAGGGAGACCTCTAATATATATTCCCATCAGCTGAATTATATACATGAACTTCCTTGATATCAGTAAAATCATGCATCAGTTTTGTTTTTTAGCATCCATTGTGAAAATCCACTTCCACAAATTAAGTTTTTTTTTTGTTTTTTTTTTCAAAAATTTTATGATAAAACAAACCTAGAATAAATTCCATCATCAACCTAAACATGAAACAGACCATGAAAGGTAAAAATGTTTCTGAGCATACAGTATTCACCCCTTCTTCTTGCAGAGATAAGTATGTCAGTAACAAGTATTTTACCTCTGTGTGTGTGAGACTTTTCCTTGGGCGCCAAGAAGAGGCAATCCATAAGTTCATTAGTGATTTCAAACGGTTAACTGTTTCAGACGAAAAGGTAAATTTTCTTGATTTATCATAGCTACTTTGTTATTGATGATTCTGTGTATGTAACAAATGTATTATAGTCATTCGTAAAAACATTGTAAATTTCTTTTTGGTTTGTAGACTGATTTAGTTGAGCACTTTCTTAGCTGCTTGAAGAACTGGATCCAACAAGATGCTATTTGGCAGTGTAAGTTAAGGGCTATTATTTACATTGTAATGTGATTTCAGTGATAATAAGGATGTAAAAAAAGGGTTTGTTTCTCATTTAGATTGATAATAACAACAAAAATTGGACAGGAAAAAATAGTCTAGTGATGCACTTACATATTGTATTAGCAGTCTTTTCTGTTCCACTAGTATAACTTTAGAATGGAGTGAACCTAAAGTCCTGGGTTTGTTTAAATGCATTCACACTCCTTAATTTTTTGTTATATTAAGTCCCACTACATTACATTGATGGTTACAATTTCTTCTTTAAACAGCTGCTAGTGAGATCCAGAAGTTAGATGCAGAGGTAGCAACAGAGCGTGCTATCATGGGTCGCATATATCAGTTAGCACTTTACCCAAATGCAGAGGGTGACATCCATCGAGATCAGTAAGTACTATGTTACTAAAAATGTATAACAAATGTCTATTATACAAATAATTGACTGCTCATGAAGGGAACTGTGAAATCTATTGCCCAAGGTGATTTGGAGACAATAGCCTACTATCTTCCCGAGAGCCAAAGGCCCGAGGCAAGATAGCAGTTGAAGTTATTACCCATTTTTTAACCAATCAGATGCCTGGAATCTATGTATGCGGTATATAACTTAAGTTACTGCTCCCTTCTCTTCAGTTCTTCCTGTTTTTCATTATTGCCGGTGCATCCTTCCAGTTTATAAAACCACACTTTCTCCTGTAGTTTAGCTCCTTGTGTTTTTGGGTCTTCCACAATCTCTTTTCCCTTCTGGTACCCGAGATAGTGTATTAAATAAATAAATTAATATATCTATAAATTCAGTATTGTGGTTGTCTTTATAGAGTGCTTTTTGAACATATTCAACGGCTGTCTAAAGTGGTAACAGCTTCACACAGATCTCTACAGATTCCAGAAAAGTATAGGAGGGAATCCCCCTGGCCTGCTGCTCAAGCTGAAATTCTTAACATCAATGTATACAAAGTAAGCACATGATAATATAACAAACATCTAAAGCCCTGCCCAGATTATCAAATTTTCTTTGTTTTTGTCTAATTTAATTTAATAGTCCGGACAGGGTTTTATATCAGATTTTGTGAAACTTGACAAAATTTAATCAGACTTCTGCATTGTGCTGATCTGGCAGACAAAATTATGATATCTGACAGATAAAATCATGATAGTGTTGGTCATTGTGAGGCTTGAACCACATAGTATGACTTAAGTCAAAGAATGGAAGAAGAAAATAGTTATCAATGATTAACCAACATTTTAGTACAGACATCCTAAAAAAATTGCTGTTAGAAGGTTGAAAGACTATTAAAACAGTATCATTTAAACATCCACTTATTGATGAGGATTTTTTTTCTAATTGTAAGATAGTAACTTATTAAAATATACAAATTAAGCAGTTCATTAATTTTTTGAAAATAATAAGTTATATTTGATATATGTGGCAGTGATATTTTAATGTATTGTTTTTCTTTCTTTGCAGACCCCTAAAGATAAATTGCAGTGTGTTCTTCGCTGTTGCTCCATTATAATGAACCTACTGAACATGGCCAGCGACAACTCTGTCCCTGGTGCAGATGACTTTGTACCTGTCATGGTATTTGTCTTGATCAAAGCCAACCCACCGAGCCTCCTCTCGACAGTACAGTACGTCAACAGTTTCTATGACAACCGGTTAAGTGGCGAAGAGATGTACTGGTGGATGCAGTTTTCAGCTGCAATTGAATTTATAAAAACGATCGATGACAGAAAGTGATTTGACTGATGCTATGTATTAATCATGTTACATATCAGTTACAGAAGGGAGTAATTGATTGATTATTTGATCAAATAATTAATTACTTGATTAATTAGTTGATTGTTTAATTACTTGATTGATCAATTAATTGATTTAAAATTAATTAACATATTTTTACCAAATCAGATATGAGATGATTGTATATCACTGTGATGAGGATATCAGAAATGATTTTAGCGTTTCTTGTTTTTAATTCAAATTGAATAACTAGGCGAAAGCTAGGCAGTAAAGTGTCAGGATTTGTCTATCAAGGCCCAAAGGATGCCCAGAACCCCTCTGAAGCATCAGATAATTTGAGGATTACGAAAAACTTGTTTCATCGATTTTAGAGTTTGTCTGTAAAAATATATATAAATGTTTTATTCTCCCAACAAATTGTTTTTAGGTCCCTTGCAGGAAGGTGGTACTGTCCCTGATGGGGTTCTTTTCCCGATAAAGCCCCCATTAACTGACAGTATCTAATTAGAATTTATCTGCTACATATGTTTGTTTCAGACATCTACAGTAAAGTGTCTTCCTATGTCATGTTAATGCTTGTACTTATAGTGAACAAATCCAACATTAATCTGGGCTATTATGTTTTATACACTTGAGTGATAAATATTCTCATATTAAATGTTTTACCAAACACTTTTTTTTAAAAGTCCATACTGTACCCTAAAGTGTGTGTATATATGATTAATTATAGGTTAAGGGTGCTCTTGTTATTTCTACTCTCTGATGGGCAGGGTGAATGAACTTTTCTCATTCCTCCCTCCCCACTACTTTAATATAATAATCATTGTCATTGTTTGTGAAGGGGTAGTTTATTGTATCATGTGGTACTACAGGTGAGGTGAGGGTAGAGACGCGCAGGTGCAGTTTGACAGTATTTTTGTACTTCATGGATTTGCTTGAATGATCTCATATTGATAATCCAGTTGTGATGAGATCCACGGTGATATACGATGACCATCCAAAAATGATATAATCCACATTGAATGAGTTGAAATCTCACAAACGATACTTAAGGAAACGAAGGACATAAGATCAAAACAGTTACAGTTTATTATTCAAACATGCGGTAACTGAAACATGTTTCTTTTTCCCAAAGCGCCCTCAACATTATCGAAACATCTAAGAATTATATTCCATAACACAAGTATTGAATTAAAAATAATTGACTAAAATTGCACTCGTGACATTATGGGTAATCAGTAAAACCTCAAAACCATCTGTGTGTTAACAGTAAAAATATGCTTTTATTTTCGTCTTTGTTCTGGTTTTCCCACAATCATATTCAATATTAAAACCGGGCACACATTGCAGCAGTCATTTGATTGTCAGCAGACAAATCAAATACATCTCGGCTCTGTGAGCTGATTGTGCACCTCGTTGGGTTGTGCTCTTTACAGAAACATGTCAGCGTAGAGTATCTCTGGCTTAGCTCACCAAGCTTCTGCATTGAAATGAACCATATAATGTCTGTTGTTTCTTTAACGTATGGGTGCAGTATGCCATATCATGCCCATATATGGGCAAATCATACATTTGGTGGACAGAACTTGTGTCATTATAAGACAAGCAGAGTGAATTTAGTTCCTTAATTTTAGAAGAAACTGGCATATCCAAAATGCTATGAGATTTGTTTAAATGATAAATCACAAGGTTTTTATTATTGAGGATGTCCATGGTTTTATTATTGCTTGCCATTTAAATTGAACTCACTGCCAGGGATTTAAACTAGCATTTTAGTAAATCAATTGTAATATACTGTCTTACAGGGAAGCATGTGTACACCTCAGTACTGTACTAATTCTGTTTTAATTAGAGTGGATCAATGTTCAGTGACTTTGCACTTCTTTTATGTATTTAAAGCTGGTCCTAGAATGCATTGTGTTAGTACTTATACTAATATATATTATATATATTGCTTGCTTGATTTATTGATTGGTTGTATGATTAATTGGTAGTGATTGGTGATGTAGTTCCTTGGTTGATAAATTGTTTAATTGATAGATTTCAGTGATTGATTGATTAATTGATTGATTGATTAATTGATTGATTGATTGATTGTTTGATTGATTGTTAGTAGTGTATATTGCAGTGTATTAATACACTTGAAAAATCAGTCACATTGTTTACTTTAAAGTGTAATAGTTTACAGTATGAGTCAGTCAATATATAACTAGCTGTGTTAGTAAAGAAGATTAATATTAATATATTATGTTTATGACTCATGTAAAATAATGTCTGAAAATTTGTTTTTTAAATTGAATTATTTCTTTTTTTATGTATCATTTCATAATCAATTAATGATATAGAATATTGTAATTAGTATCTTTTGATTGTTTTATCATCAATGTTTTTTTTTTTTTTTTTTTTTGAAAGGTAGCGTTGAGAGAATTTGTCTCCGTCATCCGCAATGTTTAGGGTGTTTGTATATGGAATTACTTTAATGACAAGTATGTTATTTGTAAAGCATATGTCTATATTATATGTATTTTATTAAGCATGTATATGTATAAAATTAGTAAAAATATTCTCCAGATTCTTGCATTATTAAATAAATCATATGTCTGAATTTTTGTAAACTCTGTTAACATAGTCAGATTTAATTTTAAATCTTACTTTCTCAATTTTTTTTTATTAAATATTATTATTTTACTTTCATTTATTGTGAAAAAACATCTTTTTATGCTTGTTTTATAATTTTTCTGATCATATGGCTAGACAAATCACAAAACATCCTCCTGATTTTTAATTTGGCAGAATCTTTCACTACATGAATATACATTATTTTCTATAATGATTTTTTTTCTTGCACTATGAGATATGCCTGGTAAAAGGTTTTTTGTTATCCTTTATATTATATATTTTTATATTATACAATAATACTATATATCTTATCTGTTTTTTTTTATCCTTTGTTTTTGATATTTTTTCCTTCAGTACTTTAATATAACAATTGTAAAACAAGTTTCCTTGTATTCAGTGGCGTATCTAGGGGTATGGGGGAACTACAGGGCCCCCCCCCCCTCAGTCCCTTTCAAAAAATCATGGTCAAGTAGTTAAAAGTCAACTAAAATCACCTTTTTTTTTCGAATTAGCGCCCCTCAACTGATTATCAAGCCCCCCCACTTCAACTTCGCGTCCCTCATCATTTCAAGACTTCTAGATCCACCACTGTTTTTTTTTTTCTTAATTTCTTAAAGCCATTTCCGCAAAATTTGTTTAATGACATTGGTGGCGCTATATATTCTATGAGGAAAAAGTGTAGGTACCCAACGAAGGGCCACGCCTTCACAGGCTCACCATGATTGGGGCTGAGGTGATGATATTTTTTTAGAATAGGCACCTTTAGAAGCCGGAAATGGCACTGTCGGACAGCAAAAAATTATTGGCAACCAAAGTTTAGGCCTAGACTTGGGACCCTGGCAATCTTAAAAATTCTTAAAAAAAAAAAAAGGCAATCTTAAAAATTCTTTAAAAAAAAAAAAAAACTGTTACAGTATTATATTTGGATGAAATTATGGAGTTATACAATCCTCCGGAAATATATTTTTAAAAAAATATGGTAAATATTATAATTTTAAGAAGAAGAAAATAATGCTGGCATACCTATTTAACCAAGGCTTCAATATCAGGATTAATAGGTAAATTAAAAATAAAAGTGAATTAAAGATATACTGCCTATTTGTTTAGCTTGTCAATTATACATAGTACCATTCTATGTCAAGTAAATTTAATTTTTTGTAGTAAAAACCCTGTAAATCATGAAAACTGATGTTTTAATATGTTTAATTGAAAATTATTTGAGCAAATTAGTGTAATTACATTTTTTAGAGGTTTTTCATGTTTTACCATGGACAGTATATCTTTAAGCTAGAGATTTATATATTACAGTAGTTATTTTTAATGATTTCTTTTTTAGAATTATATTATGGGATTGCTTTTAGTCTGGTGTAGAAAATTGTTTTCAACAGCTCTGTAGTCTTTGTGCATCTTACTCTGAAGTGTGAATAGTGTTCTGTGATTGCTAACGCATGGCTTATACTAGCCTTTTAAAAAAGCTTTTTTCCAGCAGTGTGCTAGCTACCTTTGCAACTTGTGTGAAATAGAAATTAAAGTGACATGAAAATGAAATGGTGTGTTTATGAAGCTTTTGTTGTACCAGTTTTATACTTAGCAGACTATTTCTTAGATAATATTAACAGAAATACACAAGCATGTGACAACTTCTGAAATCAACTCATCTTACAGTATGTAGACATGTATTTGGTACACTATCTAAAAAGTACACATATTCACAATTAATTAGTACATACAAATATGGAGAATTTTTTTTAATGTTTTGAGCAAACATTACAGTAGTCTAATATGGCAAGACTTTTTTTATACTTTGTTTAGCAAACCCGCCGCCCGCCACTAATGATTACAAATAAAAATAAAATATTATTTTTGGCTAATTAACTCACCTGCAGCTACAAAAAAATTGGAAATCTCCAAAAATACATATTTCTTCCTAATTATATAAATTTAAAGCATTTAACCATCCCATTACTACACTGTTTACATTCAACAATAAAATTTTGTTTTTATTTCTCCGTCTGGATGTTTTTGGAAAAACTATTTGCCAAATAAGAAAACAACATTTTATTTTTATATTTTTTTTCTCCCTCTGACGATCTTTAAAAAAACATAAGTTCGCGAAACAATTGTTAACGCCCCCTATTTCCTGACATATCGGTTGAGTGAACACAACCACCAATGAAACGCATGCGCCGAATAGAAAGTTTGTGGTTGCCTAAGTGCCGACAAAGATGGAGAACTATAAGGTAAATAAATAAAAAATAACATGAATTTGTTCTTTATTCGTTAATTAAAAGTTGATATTGTCATTATTAAGCATGCACATGTTCTTTAAAATTGTGCATATTTTCTTTTTAAGTTGTTACAACGTATGGGAAAAGGAGCACAAGGCTCTGTGTTTTTGGTTGAAGACCGACGAGACCAGGCGAAGTACGTACTGAAGAAGGTAGGTATAGGAATGGCTAGGCCTAGTCAATTTACTCTATTTGATTGTGTCGGCTTGCATGTCTGAGGGGTAGAACCTGCTCTACGTTTCTTACCTAGGCCTAGCCTAGTTCAGGTATTAGGCTTCGGGTTTTGTCCGGTTAAACTAGCGATCACTTACTTAATCACTACAAAAAAAAGAGAACATGCACTCCAACTTGGCAAGAAGGAAGAGAAGGGTAATTACCCCAGCGGAAAGGGAGGCTGGTATTCATGGTGGGAATTGCCCAGGGTGATGGGCAGGGGGGCGTTAGGCACAAATAAAAGAGTGCTTTGTTGCCTAATAATCATTGCTGATATATTAAGAAACACAAGTTGTAAGTATAGACCATGCCTCAGCTTTGACTCTGCCTTGTTTTGTAAGACCTTTGAATAAATGTGAAAAGGTATATAAATAAAAGTTATTTTCTTATTTACCAAAATGGCTACTACTGAAGCATCTCTAGGGCCTATGCCTAGGGGAGGAGAAAATTAAAATTAATGTAATTAACGAATAAAAATTGCTTTTGAGAGTGTCCTTTGTCTCATGTTGGAGATGGTCATGTCATGTTGTACAGATAATTATGTAGCAAACAATTCAGTTAAATAATTTAAAATAAGGAGAGTAAGTTCAATAAACAATTGTTCCACCATTTCAAATCATTATCTGTATTATTCCCCATCCACTATTGCATTTACTGTAGGTAGGTGCCTAGAATCGCTTCCAACTACTGCAAATGACTGAAGTAGGGAATTACTGATTATTATTCATTCTTCATTCGGGCAAGAAATTATGTTAATTACAAAACAATGAAGTACTAATAGACACCTTGATGTGCAATGTACAAGCCACAAACTCTATGAATAACCTGAATTACAGTGTTGTTTTGTGGTACCCAGAGATTTTGTTAACATGCTATGCATTTGGTTACTTTATACAGGTAGAATGCTCAGATGAAGGTGAGGCCAACAAAGCATTCAAAGAGGTAAGCCTATTAAAGGTCTTAAGCTCCATTTGACTTCTTAAAGTAAGCACTTTATCCACAGCTTATGTTAGTGTTAGTGAAGTTTGAGTATACAAGGGTTTTGCATCACTTGCCTATTAAGCATTAAAAATTATGGTACATCTATTTCTTCTGGATATGTGTACTATATGTAATTAAATACAACCTGATTGTTTCATAAAATTCATGGTATGAGTATTATTTATATAATAGATAAAATTGTAGTGAAAATTGATAAAGTTTTATATATACTAAATGTTTGCAGGTACATGCACAGTAAGTTAAAATAAATGGATGGACGGCATGGGTAAAACAAATCATTTTGTATTAATTGAAATCCTAGAAGATTTATAATTAAAAAAAAACATTTAAGTGATTATTAAAATTTGTTAATATTAACAATTACAAAACATTTTAGCTTAGTCGAGTCATGAAGTACTGTGAAGGGGTAAAATAATCTTCATATTATCTGTTCTTGAAATTAATCAGTTTAATAGTACTGTACTTGTCTCAAGTATGCTATTGGTTGGGCCCATTGATTTTTCATATTTCATTTCAAACCAGCACAGTCTTAAACTGTTGATAAGAGCAAAATCTTCTTGAAATTAGTACTTGAAATTAATGAGTTTAATGTTATATTGACTTCAAGTACATTCTGCCTAGTAGCTATCCATTTATTTTAACTTACTGTGTAAGATGATATGTAAAGATGAAAGAGCTAAATCAATCTTCATAAAATTTGTACTTTAAATGGATAGCTTAACTTGATATGTTCCCCATGCATAACATGGCTGGTAGCTGTTCATCCATTTTATTTGTAATAGTAGTTTACTAAAAAGTAGTAATCTAGTAAATAATTATACATGCAAGATGATAATAGCTAAATAACTCTTTATAAAATCTGTATTTTAATTAGTTTAATTTTATACTTACCCAGATATATTATATCTAATAGATCTGTCCATCCATTTTAGCATGTAGTGTACCATATTTCAATAAAAAGTAAGAAATTTTGAGGTGGAAAATAAATCTTCATCTGTACTTTTAATTAATGAGTTTAATCATGTCTTCATTGATTTTATGCAAAACCTATCCATTTTAATTACAGTCTTGATTTAAGTAAGAGTAAATTATGTCTTCCTTTTTACTTTAAAGTGAATTAATTTTTATACTTGCCGAAAGTTGTTTCCTTTAGTGCTGATATGTGTCCATCAGCCCTGCTTCATTGACTCGCTAACGATCAACTTACTAATTAATCAATACTACAGCCTGTATTCAGGAAGGTAGTAACTAAAGGAAGCCAGCAGTGTAAATATCAAGGCATATTTGCACAAAGAGTTTAATTTCCGCACTGCATACTGTTTGCCAGTTTCAAACATTTCACTTTTTAGCAACCATTTCAGACATTCGTTTTTATCTTATACGTAGATACTTTCATTGATAATCTTCTAATGGTAATCTAACAATACAGTGTTTCTTCATAATATTCATACCATATCCCCAGGCCCCAGGGTGTTGGAGTGTATAGCTATGTAACTATGTAGGTCTGGTGCTTGTAAACAAATGTAAATCAGCAAAATTGCACTTGAAATACAATCAGAGTCAGATTCAATTAACAACACTGAATTGCTTTATTTACATTATTTGAAATACTAAAAGCTTAAAAGGGAACTAGAAAGATTTTTTTTTCTATAGGGGATTTTTAACATGTCATTATTAACTAAATATAATCAACTTTAAAATCATTTTTGGCCATTTTTTATGTAGTTATTAGGATTTACCCCTTTAGCACCGTGACGTCAGTGTAATGTACTGTAACCAAAAATCCCAGTGCTATATGATATTTGGTTACAGTACCTTTCCAGTGAAAAGTCCAAAAAAAAATGTTTTTGTTGCCCAATTTTACTGTCCCAAAGCCTTGAATGTTTGTGGTTGGCTCTTTCGCAAAGATGTTTTTCTATCAAGAGCTCAAAATACAAACAATACTAAGGATCTAAAAAAATGAGACCTTTATTTAAACTTGGATGTTAAACCTTGTAGTTACCTTTCATCAACAACAACAAAAATGCATGGATGAATTTGGCAAATATAAACTCTAAAATTATACCTTAGCCAATAGATTAAAATTAGAACCAAATACCATCCCACTGTATCTCTTTATCTCTCTATCTACTGTATCACTGACACTGATTTCTGATATCATCATATATGCTTTTTTTTGCAATTTTTTATTTTAGCCTAAAAAATAAATAACATTTATATTGCCAAACCAAAGTAGTGACTGTGTAAACACTATATAGACTAAAGTGTCTACTAACCTATACTTTGTTTTCACTGTGTTTACACAACCTTATACTAAAGTCTATTCACCATAACTAAAGAATGGTAAGTGCCTTGTTGGCCTGGACAAAGTCCTCCAAGCAGATTTGTTTTTTCATTCAAAGTGTTCCTTCCTTATCGTTCTAACTATGATTAATAATTCAGTGTCTATTAATGTGGAAGGTAGTTAGAGATGGGGTCAAGTGTTTTAGCAAATCACTTCGTACATTGTGTAGGTGTGATATTAGTTGAACATTCTTTCAGTTTGTTACAGTTTTTCCCAAAGGATACACAAGCTGCTTTGACAGTTTTTAAAATGGAAAATTAAAGCAGCTTGACTGAATCATTAAAATACCAGAAGTATACAATCCCATCAGGCCCATTTTTATGGTCTCAAAGACCATTATCATAACAATTTGAAAAATAAGTGGATAATGTATTACAATGTTAATACATATGGTAAAATTTATAATAAGGAGGTGTGTACTAATTTAAAATAATTTTAGAACTGTTTAATATACTCAGTTATGTAGTATTCCATCTCTGCAAATTACAATCTTGTGTGCTCCTCGTACGTATATGTGGCAAAGACAAGCCAAACCAGTCACTCGTCACAAATTGTGTTTCAGAGAAAATAGCTAAAACATGTTAGAATGTAAAATTTTTAAAAATTTATTTTATTTCACTAAACTAAGGTTTATATATTTATACATCTTTCTGTGACTGTTATTTTTCCCAATTTCAATGTTAAAACAACACTTTTTAATGATTTTATAATAGTTTCTGCATGAGAAATGCCTGAAATCATAAACATTGAAGGCTGATTTCTCATATATTGTTCTTTAAACAGCTGTATGCTTAAATGCTTGTAACTTCAGAAGGAAAGTTAGATTTGAACGAATTTTTTACCATTTTATAGCTCTTATTTTACTCTTTAACCCTATATTAATAACTCAAAATCGATTTTTGCGACAGAGTGACTGGTTTGGCTTGTCTTTGCCACATATGCTCTCAAATAGATTTCTGATGATGTCGCAAGTGCATTGGTCCGTCCAACGTTAGTAACAGACCATTAAGATATATTCTGTTATAATGAAGTGTTTCTAATAAAAATTTTATTCCAATTGAATTTTCCAATGGAAATTTAATTTCCATGGTTGATAATACTTAATTTTGAATTTGTACAGTTATTGTAATAATCAATAATGAAGACCATTGTTAGAAGATGTTTATTTTTAAACCAAGTGTAAAATAGTAGGTGATGTTGAGCTTGCATACAGTTGCGCATCACGCTAAGAGACTAAAAATATATATTTGAACATCACAGAGAGAGTACCTCCTTTGAGTTTTTTCTGTAAGTAAAGTTCAAACTGTTGATAAAAATATCAATTTGGATTGAATATTTATTCAAGTGACTCTACACCTTTGTATCGGTGGCACTCCAGTCAGTTTTGCAGTCTTACGTGTTACACAAGAGAATAAATGGTGAAAAATGTTAACTACCAAACTTAAGAAAAATTAAACAAATAATATGCTAATGATAAATAAAGTCAAATAAAACCAAATATCATTAAAAAAAAAAAATACCAATTAGCAAAAGATAATCAAGGAGAAAAATAAACAAAATATGTTGATTAGTTAAATTCTACTTAGGCCGGTGCTTTTGACTGAATTTACCTTTCAGTCATAAAAGAATCTTGCTGCTGTGATGAAAAGCCCTCAGACAATTCATTTAAATAATAAATTGCTCATTCCAATAACAAGAGAATCAAATAATTTTCATTGAGACGATGACAAAAGTTTATTTTTACTTCTGATAATTGGTGAGAAGAATATTTTCTCATTCATACTGATTTTCATAGTACTTGCATACAACCCATAATGTTGATAGGTATTAAAGCATTTCCTAAGGTTGAATATTTATAAATTTACACACTTGACCAAATTAAATATGGGCTACCTTCTGTAGAGTATGGCATACAATAGGCCTATAGAAAAAAAATACAGTTGAGGTGTCTAAATTTAATTTGATTAAGCTAGTGTCTCAAGACCGACTGTGTTCACCTAATTCATAAGTGGTTAATTATAATTAATTAATATACATTTACTTAGTTTACTCCTAGTGTGATACTCCTATTTTTTGAATCAGTATGAGGTTGGCTTTAGCCACCAGAAGCAGAACCAGTGTGAGCAATCTACCTTGAACTTTCTAGTCATTCAGTCATTGATCTCTCCCTGTGATATCCCAGCTCTATGGTTGAATTGTGTTCAGTAGACCACATCCTATTTAGTTACATTTTATCATATATTCTATACCCTTATAAGCTATTTTAATGGAGCTATCACCTAGCAATGGTTTATATTTAAATTTAAATAACCACCCATGAAGCTAGTTTATTTGTTCAGTGTACACACAGAATTTGTTTTCCGTGTGTCAAAAAAAAAGAACAATTATAAAAATGCAATAAAAGAGATTTTGGAAATGGTGTAATACAAATATGCCAGATAGTAGATAAATTAAAGTTTTCAATTCAATTAATTTTCATTATACAAGGACTACATTTAATGCTCGGTAAATTATGATTTATATACATTGATTTTTAATGAACTGGTGGAGTAAGAAACTGTAAATTGCAATTCAAAAATATTACATTTATACAGCAGTACACTACACACAGTACATTAAAATGCACAATAACAAACACTGTTGAAGCAGATTTTATTCAGTTTTTTAAGTGTTTCTTTAAAGGTTTTATTGTTTCTTGGTGAATCATGTCACAACATTCTACCAGCACCAGGTACCTATTTGTACTCCTGGGTAGAAGGAGGCAAAGTGACAAAATTCACAGTGACAGATTAAAAACACCAGCCTTAAAGTTAACACTAACAACAGTCTACACATTGACCGCTGCAGAAACCACATTCACTTTACATGAACCATTCAGTCTAGATGTGATTGTTAAATTCACTGTTGGCTGGGATGATATTAAACAAATTTGTTCAAAGACAATCCAAACCAGTCACTCGTTGCAAATCCTGTTTCAGAGATAATGGCAGAAACATGCTGGAATGTCAACATTTTTTAAATCTATTTTATTACACTAAGCTAACCTTTATATATCTATATATCATGCTATGCTGTTATTTTCCCCATTTTCAATGTTAAAACAAAATTTTTTAATGATTTGCTAATGGTTTCTGCCCGAGAAATTGCCCAAGATCATAAAGTTCAGAGCTGATTTCTCAAATATTGTTCTTTAAATGGCTTTATGTTTAAACCTCTGTAACTCCATAACGAAATGTCGGATATGAATGATTCTTTCACCATTTTATAGCTCTCATTCTACTGTTTAACCCTGTATTAAAAATGAATTTTTGTGACGAGTGACTGGTTTGGATTGCCTTGGCCACAATTAACAAAATAATCCTCATATGTAAATTAGCATGTTGCCTGCCACCTGGAATGATGCGATTGCAATAGAATCAAGAAACCCAGGGCTTGATCGCCGACAATGACAATTATACAATTCACCTGTCACAGGTGTTTTCGTGTGCTTTGTGTTTTTACCTAGCCTAATTTCTTCTCGTTATTTCATTGACAGGCGATGGCGCTACAGGAACTGCAGCATCCTTATGTCTGCGGTTATAAGGAGTTCTTTGTCACTTGGGATAAAGAGGTAATAAACTGTCAGGTTTTTATGGCATTGCTTTTTATCTTCTGTTAGCACTCATGCTGAGTCTGTTACTTAAAAAAAATATTGATTCATCTTTCTAAATATCATGTCTCATAAAACTATATTAAAAAATATAGAGATAATTACTATGATAATGAAGAGGCTTTAAGTTATTAGTTTATTATAAAACTCAAGAGATGATAATGATTCTGAATATGATGTTGCTAAAAAATTATTATATAAATAAAATATATTTTAAAGAACACATTCTTTTTAAACATATTTTTTATTTTCCTTATTGAAAACTTTACTTATGTTTTCTGTGTATCTTGCATCATCTTTCTAAATATCATGTCTCATAAAACTATATTAAAAAATATAGAGATAATTACTATGATAATGAAGAGGCTTTAAGTTATTAGTTTATTATAAAACTCAAGAGATGATAATGATTCTGAATATGATGTTGCTAAAAAATTATTATATAAATAAAATATATTTTAAAGAACACATTCTTTTTAAACATATTTTTTATTTTCCTTATTGAAAACTTTACTTATGTTTTCTGTGTATCTTGCATGTATATTTCTGTGTGTATTATTTTATTATTATCATTATAGATAATGATTTCTTGTTTTGCCTTTCCTGCGTTGGTCTATTTCCTGGACCATTGTTTTCTGGATTTTTCCTTTGTTGAAATTAAGTGATTTTGTATATTATGATCTATGCCACTGACGAAGGAGTGTAATTTGTAATAAATTATTTATATGCTATATCTTTTTAAATGTGCTTATATCAGGGTTAAAGAATGAAACTACTGTTTAGCATTTTGAATCAGAGTGCTGGAATTGGAAGGCCAGCATCTACCAACCTGCTCCACAGATAATGCTGATGATGATGGTGTTGGTGGTGATAGTGTTGGTGATAGGATTGTTGCTAAATGATGATGCTTGTTATTAATATCAGTAAACATTTTCGTAAATTATTTTACATTTTCAAACAGGAAGCAACTATGTACGTATGTATTGTGATGGACTACTACAAAATGGGTGATCTTGATCGAGTCTTAAAGCAGAAGAGGACAAAGGGAGAGAAAGTTGATGAGTTGGTCAGTACTATTTAAGCAGCATTGCATTTGATTAATTTTGACAAGGACAAAGTATATCTGCACCTTTGTTTTGGTCAAATTGACTAGGTACACGGTTAGTTTGACCAGAAAACAAATCATTCTGAACGGAGCTATAGCCATTTAACCAGCGTTGCTTATGTAGTAATGTTCTGTAAAAATATCTATAAATTAGGAGAAGATTATGAGACTTAAACTACAGTAGAGCATTTAAGCCTTGTTGGTATGATACCTGATTAGATTAAAATAATGATAAATAATGATGAGTTTTACTTCATATTATAACTTCTTATTAGTTTAGTTTTATTGCTTTGATTGGCTTATGATAAGTTAATGAATTACCACGCTATATCATCCCTGTTGGTATATTGAAATTTGTTGGCAAGGTGAAATTTGTGGATAAACAGATTAGACAAGCCACCTGCTTTTAATAATATGTTTTGATTAAAATGGGTTGCAAATATTTAATCAGCGTTTTGCTAATATTCCCAACCGATTTAATTGTTAATTATATCGCTGCATGCTATTAGAGCATGAACGATCTGCTTATTAAAGTCCTACATATTTGTTGAATAAACTGTACTGCAGTAGAAAGGAACAATTTTAGGCCTATTTATTTACAAAAAATCATTTCAGCTGTTTATTGATCAAATTAACTTTAAGTAATTATATTAATGTTAAAATGATGGGTGAGGTATTAAAATTCGCAATGTTTGTTGAGAGTAAATAAATAGTAGGCCTACGGTATCGTACATTGTGTGATAACTACTTACTGAAAATGTTAGCCAGTGCAAAGTTAGCAGTCCCACAAAGGATTTTGATGGAATTTTGATCTTACTGCTACCAAACATGCAAATACAATGAGACCTTGTGACTTTGTCGCCCATTGACTAACTATTGATTACTTGTCATAGTATGCCAATCAGAGCGTCTTTACAGGTTTATTACCATTGTCAAGGCATCAATTGTCAATGTGTTTTTTTTTTGTTTATTTTAAAATTTCAAAAATAACAAATAGAAGATCATCATTAAAATAAAATAAGTCTGTTATTGACAGGTTGAAATACTAGTAATATTTAAGTTATATTATAGCATTGTGATTTGGTGGTCTTTATTTGAATAAGCAGGAGTGCTATAACTGCTGGGAGCACATAAGAGGTCCCCTGCTGCAGTAGTATTCCTTTCAAATGGTAGGCTTAATGGCTTAAAAATTATATTTACCCAAGAAACCTGTAATATATAAGCTAAAGTAATTTTATCAGCTTTATAAAAGTGGAACAGATTTTTTTCAGTAAAAAAAAAAATAAATATAACATAGTAATTTATAATTTATGAACTTTTCTTTTATTTCCAGATTTTAAAGAAATGGTTTGGCCAAATGCTAGAAGCTTTGGTCTTTGTACACAAAAAGAAAGTTATTCATCGGTAAAGTATACACATTGTAAACATTCTCATCCAATGACCTTCCTCTTGCAGGATGGAATAATGTATGATACTCTATAAACTAATAAACTCGTGGAAACAGTTTGACACAACGGAAATAGTTTGGTTTCCCAATCTCGCTGTGCATTTTACTTGTATCCTTGAGCAAAGCAGGCGTATAAATGGGTACCTTGTGAGGTTGCTTGCTACTGCACCAATATGGCAGCAACCCTTAAACATGTGGACCCAATGACCACAGAAAAACTTACAGTGCTTTGTAACTGAAAGGAAATGCACTATACACAAATACCCTAATAACACAAAATAGAATTTTACATGCATCCAAATCTAGTTGAAAATTTAGCCTGCTTCATTCCGTCTATGTGCATCGTTAGATTAGTGCACTTACCTGACACGCCCCATAACCTCAAGAACCAAAAAAAAATTAGATTAGTGCACTTACGTGACACGCCCCATAACCTCAAGAACCAAAAAATTGTTATTGTTTTGAATGGAGAGGTTTAAACAGGAAAAAAGAGTTTCAAACATGAATGAACATAATATGAAAACAATTATTGAAACAATCTAAATACTTGCTTGAATACTGTAGAAAATGTAGTAATCATACAGTAGTATAGCACTGCAGTGAGTATAATTACAAATACTAGGCTACCTAAACTAGGCTAATTAATTTGTATAGCCTAGCCTACAGTAGACAGGCTGGTGCCTGATTTTTTGTGGTTTGCGATCTGGAATCTTAAGAGTAGGTACTAATTGTGTATAGGCTGCACCTTATATTTCGGAGTTCGAAATTTGTGGCTTAACATCAAAATATATAGTAAGTGGCTAAATTTTTTAATTCTTGTTTTGATTTTCAGAGACTTGAAGCCTAGCAATATCTTCATCACCTCAGACTTGAATATTTCCGTAGGTGACTTTGGAGTTGCTACAGTGATGGGTGATGCCAGGACCAGTGCCAGGACTACTGTTGGTTAGTTGTTCATTACAGATATCATAATCACCACCTTACCTGTTATCAAAATATAGAAACCTTGCATTACCTTACTAATCATCATAAATTTTTTTTCCTTATCACTGGCTACTTTATTATCTTTTTACTATTTGAATCATATTTTATTTGGTAACCCTTTCAAATCTGTTGAATAGTAAATGTTCTCAATTCTGATCTCAAGTCACTGGATCCGAACTTGCACCAAGTGCAACCTTCTTCACTCCCTGTGGGTATACCCTACAGCAGTTCAACAAATTATGTGGAATATTTTGTAACTATAGTTCCATGGTGTACTAGGTTATTTTTACAAAACACTAGTTCAAATAGTTTTTGTTTTTTATGTGATAAAATGATATGATGATTTTGTATTATATTTAAATCCCAGTAATTTAACCCATATTTCTTATAATCCCTATTTGTTCCTATTTGTTCTCATCTGATATTTTGTAATAATTGTCAAGACATATATTTATTTTTTCTTAAGTCCCTTGAATACCATGTAAATAGACCATTTTTGTTATTCCATCTAAAATCATTCTAATGTTTTAGTATGCCATATGTGTATTAAAGAGTGCATGGTATTCAAAATGTTGTCATTTCATTGAATCTATATTTTACTTTAGGATCAATAAACATAAAATGCATAACTTACAATTTTCAAGTTTATAATTATCAAGTGGGTCTCCATGTAGAATATACAAATGCAATACAGAATAATAATTATGAAAATATATTTCATAAATAAGCAACTGTTTATATACCATCATTTTTCTTGTTGTCATCATTGTCACTTACCATCATCATCACTCTTTGTTTCATTATATGAATTCCAGCAATTGGGACCATTTTTATATATTTGTCATTTTGAACAATTTTTTCTGGCAATTTTTATCAGTTCCATTTTTGCTAACATTCAGGATAAATTATTTGTTGTGTAACATTAGGAATATGTCAAAGACAGTATTTAAAAATATTTTAGAACTAGGCGTTCTAAAGAACTTTGTTATTATTGCTAATTGAATCAATCATATTGAAGAACCGGGAGCGATTGGTAAGTTGCATGCTAAAAGTCTTGATGCTTCAACTTTTTACTGCACAACAAATTCCATGTACAGTAGCCACTAATTATGTTAATAAAGCTTTATGCTTGATCAAATATTGATTGGATGTACACTTCTTGAACAGTGACACACATGTCCATCCTTAAATAAAATACAAAATGTAAAGTTTTTTTACGGAACCGCATTTAAAATTCACAAAAAAGATTAATACACTTTTCAAGGTCGTAAACTAACTGGTTAAAAAAAAGGCACATACTGAACCAAAATGTAATTGCAAGTGGAAAACCAATTCAAAATTACAACATGCACAAAATTATAATACACCAACATAGAATGGTTTTATTCTAAGTCTGATCATAAAAAAAGAGTAATTGAAACGTTAAAATAACTTTTTTTCTTGGTCTTAGAATACATGTTTAGAAGTTTTTCATTGTTGTTAATTTTAATTCCATACTTGTATAAACTTTTCACAAACATGTTAACATTTAGTTTACCTTTTGACTGTAGCTTTAGTAGTTGTAATCTTTAACTCTTAGTTTATGTCTTGTAGTATTTGTTGTATATAACTTAAACTTTTATCTTGGGTGTTGCTATGACCTGTATTAGTAGTATTGCATTCATAATTTTTGTAAATGTTTTGTTTTCCTAAGTAATCTTGTTATGATTAACCATGCTACATTAGATAATGCAAATCTTTTGAATAGATTTGGGAGCTTGAGGTTGACTGTCAGGAAATAATGCAGTGTGGGTAAAATTATAGAGGTTTATGAGGTTTTTTGGGTGCTATGTTAAGTATAAATGTGTATTGCATAGCATAGAAATTTCTGAATGTTGAGATACAGCTTATAGTTACTTGCTAATTCTATTCATCGGAAAATGAGTATGTATATATTGTATATAAAAATAGATATAGTAGTAACAAAAATATTTGAATAATAATTATTCTAAATAGGTGTGTCAGTACTTTATTTTCAGTACATGGTGTATCAAAATCTATTTTCATTATAATTGCTTTAATGCTTAACTATGAAAACATTCAAACACAAATGCTGTTCACACCTGAACTGCACTGAGTGCACGGTAAGTTTTGATCATTTTAGAAAGTATGATGTCCGAAGTTATAGTGTGGTTAAATACAGCTAGACCATTTAGCTTTGCAATGCAGGCTCAATTTTTTCCAGAAACATGCATTAAAAGACATTGAGAAGGAGTACTCAGTAGATATCTGCCACTTGATACGGACGATGTTGAGGAGGAACTTCCAGCAGAGACCTACAGCTATGTATGTCATATTGTACATTGTAATTAGCTAATAACACAAAGAAACAATAGTAATCATATGGCAATGATGAGAGATGTTCAATTCAGACTTTTTAAACTGTGATCTGTGTCCATGTTGATGCTTGCCATAGGGTCACTCAGAGTAACCTAAAATAAAAAATAAAGAAATACATAAAAACCACAATAGATTGTCTACTTCTTGCATCTCACATACATTTCATGGTCTTACATTCTTTTTCTTCTTGTCTTCAGAGAGCTTGTTGAGATTCCATTTGTTAAGAACTGCTTGGCATTGAGTGGCTCAGAATTAGCTGGAAAAAAGAAAGAAAAACAGAAAAACTCAAGTAAGCACTTATTTACTAGTTGACTAATTCCTTAGTCAACAATGCATCTAAAATCATAACAAATGTATATTATATTGTAGTATTATTTTTCTATATTTGTTTTAGTTGTAAGTAATTCATTAGAAGTATTTTATGATAACATTTGGAAATACTGTAAGTCATATTTAATGTTCGGTTTCTGGATGTATACCTTATGAATTTTAATGTGTTGCAGGGCCCATCAGTGCGCCCGTTATAAAGCTTGCTTGTTGTTGCGACCCTTTTTCTACTTTATTCAAATGTTCTAATGGGCTTACATTCTTATCAATTATTGTTTTTTTGTTTTTTTTGTTTTTTTTTTTTTACCCTTATGTATTGCTCTGTCTATGTATTTTGTATTGATGATGTGGAAATAAACTTTATATTGAATATTGAATATTGAATAGATGTATCTATACTACAAGGGCTATTGTATTGAATAAAAACAAATTTAATTAGTTAACAAATAAAAGAATGAATGAATAAATGAATGACTAAATGAACAATCAAACGTTATGCTGGCTTTGTATTGTTTACTTCTATATCTAATTGTCTATTGTATTTTGAAAAGTTTAATTAAATTATTTTTTGTTATTTTCTTCATACAGAATCACCAGACAAAGGTGCAAGTGTGGCTGACACCATTAGTAAGTAGTAATTTTTGTAAATTAAATGATATGGTAAATTAAATTTAAAGCATTTGAAACTATTATTAAATGGATATGTTACAATTAGTGTTCAAATTAATAATAAGTTTATCATATTATTTGTTGGACTGGTAAAGCTGTGACCTAACTAAATTCAACATTGCTAGTCACTTAAATTATATTTTAGAAGACATTTTTGCTGGTCACCTAAATGATATTTTAAAAGACCTTTTGAAATCCACATTATAACCGTGATCTCCTTACCATCGAACAACAAGTTGAAATTGCAGTCCAGTGCCAGAAATAAATATAGCTAGAGGGATTGCTGTCCCAATGCAAAGCAATGAATTGTCACTCAGTACCATGTAGAGTGCATCAATATGCTATTTAAGGTCATAAATCTTATATCATTGGTTTTTCGAAAGGTCACTCTTAACTTAGAATTTCTTCAGTGTGACAAAAAAAAAGTCACCACAGCTAATTTAAGGAAGTCTGAAGAGATTCATTTTTAGTGGGGTTCTTCTAGCGATGAATTTGGTAGTAAACAACCCAGGGGAAAAAAAATCCTCTATTGTTTTTTCCAAGAGTATATTGCTTTCTTTAAAATGTTTATTTTCCATTTTGTATACTTGACAAAGGACTAGTTTCCAATGGTTCAGTCCACACACAGCATTTTTTCACTAATAATAATAATAATAATAATAATGAAAACTTTTAAAGCGCCGGTATCTGTTTAAATAAAACACTCATGGCGCCCCTCCACAAGAAGTAAAAAATATGACAGACAAAAGAACAATGAAGTTAAAGAACTAGAAACAATTAAATTACATGAGCTGTACTTGGGTCAGCGTCACTCTCTCTATGTAGCCATGTATTCACAGATACTCTACACAAGGTGGTATGCTGGGCTCCAATAGTTTAGCTGACTGAGCAGGACTACCATCTGTGGAATGATACTGTATTTTGTAAATCAAATGATTGATTGATTGATTGACCTTTTAACTCTAATGTTATTTCTTTTTTCATTTTTCATTACGTTTTCCTAATTAAAACTTGTATTGAATTTGCTTTTAGAATTCATGAAAGAAAATAAAGACAATGGAATTAGTGTAGCAAATGCATTGAGACATCTAAATACATTGAATAGTAAGTACACCAAGAATAACATTATTTATGTCCATTAACACAAATGAGTCAGCCTTTTTGTTATAAATAACACAGTGAAAGATTTTTATTTTATTTTTGAGTGCCTGGAGTACCTGTGATGCTTATAAGGGTGCCCTCAACTTTTGATCGTGTTAATACAGACACACTACTGATAGATTTCAAATTATAAAGCAAATAGTGTTTTTATGATTATTGGGAAAATAGGGACACAATGTAACCATGCACATGACAAACTTTAGTCTACATGGCCTAATGGCAATTTGTAAATGCACTAATGAATCCTACAGGATTTCTTATTTCATTGCCCAAAAACAAGTTTACACCAATTCTACCCTTTATAGTTTCTGTATCTTCATATCCATTTACTTTCGTTTTTACTTTTTTAATCCCATGTAATTACAAAAAATGATTTTCTACAAATTGAGAAAGATTATAATATTGTAAGAGTATTGTGCTGACCTATATATAATGATTGTATTTTTATCCTTTATACATAATATTATACTATTAGGAAAACATTATAATAATTATAATATGTCAGCTATTTAACAGATTATGTGCTGCCCTCTGTAGTTCATCATGAGCTTTGATATTATCAGTGCACCTTCTGCACGAATATGAATTGAACACAAACCAATTAACATAACAGCTATTAACATTGTACAATTTATCTGTGTATGTATGCTGTATCATATTTATTTATTTAACTATATTTACATAGTATTACTTTCAGTGAAGTTTATATCAAGCTTGTGTACCTTCACTATTATGGTTGAATAAAGTAATGTAGGCCTAATGCAATATGATCAGTTGCTTAGCAACCTACAAATGACTAAAATTGTACTTATTAATACATTGAAATAGCTAGTGACTTGAAGCCACTGCATACAAAATATTTGTATCCTACAGGGTTACTGTTGAATAGCTGCAAAAAATATTTGTTTAGTGAGCATCAGTATTAGTTTATTTAGAGAGTAATGTCTTCAGTTCCTGTTTATTTTTGCATTAACCAGTGTTCTCCCGAGCTAGCTGGAATGGTCATGTGACGTTTGCGGTTGATCGTGATACCTTTCAGCTGGCTGTGGCAGTTGGTCATGAATGTTTACAAAATTTATTCATCTAAAATCTGTAGTGTGTAATATGGGATGAGCGAAAAATTCAACAAAATAGAGGCTTTGATACAAACATTATTCAACATAATGGTAACAGTAGAAACTAAGTTTTATATTACCACTGGTGAAAAAAAGAATAATGATGTAAGTGCTGTGTACACATATACAATAGTCCCAATACAAAATAGATTGAGTCACTTTTAGTAGGTTTCTAATGTAAACATCTTAGTAATTTTTATTGGCCCATCCACCGAACAATGACGTCATGACGTGCGGCCTAGGCTAGGTCGTAACTAAGGATTCTAATTGACTAAATTTGTACAGCATTATACAAATTTTCAGAACATTGTGTGTTATTAATCTAAAAACTGATTTAAAACATTATTGCCAAGGTCACCATTGTGAGTCATATATTTAACAGATTATCATTGTACAAATCGGTGGCCTGCTGATTGGTCAATTTTGTGGCGTACCCTGCGTATGTTTGCTTCTCACAAACTGAGATAACATGTGTCGGAGATACTGCAAAGAAACAACATTTTTTCTAAAATCAAATTTATTGTATTTTTGGCCTTCATACTGCAGTAAACATTGAACCCTCAGGATATTAGTGCACAATATGCATACACTATACAAACACAGATGTTATTATATATTCAATAAATGTCAGTGTGAGTTAATGGAATATAACATTTCTAGTCTAATAATGTTATGGAAATGGAATTTGCCATACGTTTCATGAAAAGTGAATACATTAAATGCAGAAGCATGGAAAAGTAGAATCTAATTTATTTTATGATATATATGTTGCGACACAAAGAGAGGAATCACTTGTAATCAAAGGGTTATGGTTTGACGGTCAGACTGTAGGTGTAAGTTGTGTCTTGTGGGATTTTGAGGTGTAATTTTAGTACTAAGTGTGTATTGTGTTCTTTTCTAATTACATTATAAATATAAAATTGAATAACTAGCAGTTTCTAATAGAAAGTAAAATGCTGCGAGTATGCAATTCATGTAAATATTAATAGATACTTCAGTACATAAAAGGGTGTACTGATTTTTAGTTTTAGTATTTAGTATTTAGTTGGTAGAAATGTATGATTTGGTGACTTATAAGAAGGGGTTTCAAAAATTTTGTTTACAATGCTACAAGACAACATAATAATATACTAATAGACATGTTTGTAGTTGATCTTGTTTTATTGTTAATTAATGATATTGTTTTTAAATGAAGGTACATGTTTTTAATGTGATAGTGAATGAATTAATATAACTATTTTATTTGTAATATTTGTAAGTTTTAATTTCTATATTTGTATTGTTCTAAAATTTGTATTACTGGCTCATAATGTTATTTATTTTAATAAATCTATATTTTAAAAGTAAAATTTTATGGGTTCTTCTGAAAATATTTATAATTTTAAATTGTATATTTTTTTATGCATATTTTGTATTCTAAGATTAGTAAATAAAGCATTATCTTACTAGTGGTTAATTGGACCACTTTAACGCCAAAACTATATTGTAGTCGACTGTATGTTGATGCATATATCATTGTAAATCCATGTGTGTTCTTGAAATTACATAATAGCATTGAAACAAGAAATTATAGCATGTGGATGATAGAACACTTATTTATTTTTGACCAGTTCTCTGGTCTTCTTCAGCTTATGAAACTAAATGCATACAGTGTGTGTATAATTAACTAACGTGATGTTTTACATTTTTTTCTTTAAATCAGAACCTCAGCTAGATGAGAGCAGTAGACAACTAGTTGTAAAGAGCATGAAAGAGAATATGTCGGAGGTGGACGTCCAAACAGAAGCCTGTAAACTTATATTAACATTAGCTGCAGCATGTAAGTTGCTAATTACAAGGCGCTGATGATGATATTGTTACTTCTGATCATAGATACATCCATATATTAATAGCATATCAGCACAGAGTGTTATATATCCTGGGGAGTATTACTTAGTTGTGGTACATTAGATTGCTCACATTCAGTGCCACAACATCCTCCCAGGTTCCTTGGCCATATCAGAGATTCCCCAAGAGGTCAAAGGTCATTGTCAAGAGGCCTGACTATGTTTGAAGCAAATTTTTAAGAATATGCCTGGAAATGACACTTTAGAATGAGAATTGCTTTTTAAGGCAGTATACCCAAACAAAATGATTGGCTTCCCCGACCCCGGGTTTCCCGATGAAGGTTCCTGTGCCTCCATAGACCCTGCTGGCGCTGTCTCTGCCAAATACTTATATTTACTCCTGGGTGAGGAGAGAGCAAGATGTTTAAATTACTAGTAGAGAGCCCATTTCACAACCACTGTACCGACCCCCTTCCACTGCAGTGTAGGTATAGTAAAAGATTTTAAGTGCCATGTGATAATGTAAGTCAGTACATTAACAGGTCAGTGCCATCTCTGTAAAAGAGACGGATCAATTAAATTCAAATAATATTAATAATGCTTGTCTTTATAGCACATATTCTATCTTCTAGGCATTGCACATTACCTAGGTAATAATTGGATCAAATGCCTATTTAACACACCCTCGCTGCTGGAATATTCCATTATGTATTATCATGACACGATTTGATGAAGTCTTTATTATGGTTAATTATAAAGGTGTGAACATAAAAGGTATTATTAAAATATCTTGTCTACTTATTTTAAAATGTAAATTATGATAAATTGACAAACATATTGATGAATGGAGTTCTAGCTTGTTGATTAAGATGCTTGGCTTCAAATTCCATGGTCCTGGGTTCAAATCCAGTGGAATCCAGTTTTTTTCTCACAACTGAGAACAACTCCATTCCCTAAGACATAAAAACACTTAATTTATAAAGCATCACCCATGATAGGCGAGTCCTGTACTTACTGTTGAATGTAAAAAAGTTAATTGTCCTAAGAACTTATTAGAGCCTGCTGTTCTGTGACCCAAGAATTATAGGGATGGATTATTAGATAAAAACCTCAGAACTAGGTAAACACCAAAAACGGTAGGAATTCTAGAACTTTTCAAAAACATTTTTATAAAATGGAGACAAAAATACATAATATGTTATAGTGAATTAATGCTACCTAGATTAGTATGAGTATGCCTAATATATCATTGTAATTAACACACACTAAAAAAAAATTACAATTGAGGAAGGTTGTTCACGGATAACAATTTCTAACATTTGGATTAATATTGTCGCAAATCCTGTTTCAGAGATACTGGCCAAAACATGCTGGAATATCAAAATTTTGGAAATCTATTTATTGCTCTAAACTAACCTATANNNATGCTATGCTGTTATTTTCTCCTTTTTCAATGTTAATACAACAATTTTTAAATATTTGGTGATGATTTCAGGCTAAGAAATGCCTGAAATCATAAACATTGAAGGCTGATTTCTCAAATAGTGTTTTTTAAACAGGTGTATGTTTAAACTCCTGTAACTTCATGACGAAATGTTGGATTTAAATGATTATTTTACCATTTTATAGCTCTCATTTTTCGCGACGAGTGACTGGTTTGGCTTGTCTCTGACAAATATTTTAAGGTGGCTTATTCAAATATTAATTTATAATTTATAGCCAGTCTTATTCTGCTACCCAAATCATTCTAAATATTTAGGATTGAATGCAGGTTTATCTACATTATCACATGAATCATTAGGACTGCCACTATAAATATAAAGAAAACTTATTATTGAAACATGACATGAGTTGTGAAGTAGTTAGATTGCGTGGAAAGATATGATCCGAAGTCAACTGCTCCCACAGTGCTATTCCTCCTACTGAGTTCAAAAAGACAGGTCACCTGAAAAATAAAATCAATCATTTGTATTCAGTATTTTCATTTCACGTATTTCAAACTTAATCCGACAATGAATTATTTGGCATTAATTAAAGTAATGACAAAAGAAATGTACTTGTAATGGATATTAAAATTTCTGTTATATTAATATGATAGAACCTACAAAAATTATGCCCACTACAAATTATGACCACTGCCAAATTCATGATCATTGCTAAATTAATTTCCATCTCTACGAAGATCACAGCTACTTCTAAATTAATTACCACTACTAAATTAATGACTAACACTCCCAACTTCTAGGAACACCACTGCCTAATTAATAACAACTATGAAAATTATTACTACTGTGCTTCCAAATTCAATTATAAATGTGATCTAGTCAAGAAAAGGCATTGCCTCAATTGCACGAAATTTTATATATAAAAATAGAAAACCATTTGAAAAATATATCATTTACAGTCTAAAAAAAAACATTGAAAAATTGTATGCCTACAATAAAAGAATTATTTGGTAGAAGCAGTTGGCACACTGGTTGGGTGGACCTTGAGGTTGGGGGCTCAAATCTTTGCCGTGCAAGTTACTTGTGTCCTTGAGCAATGGACTTATCTACATTGTCACTGTCCACCTAGGAGTATAAGTGGGTACCTGAGGAGGTTTAAGTGCAAAATGTGCTGAATTATTTCATGCAGCAAATTATGGAATTTTCCCAATAGGCATTATAATGAATTGGGTAATAATGTGGAAAAGCACTTACTGAGACATAACTAGAGTGCTATATAGTAAAATACATATTGTTATTATTCAGGGGCCACGCCAGCTATACTTAAGCATGGGAGGTCACTGTTCGATGCTAAATATTCGGCTGGATAGGGCGCAGCTTTGTGACGATCCTAGTATGCACTGAAATGACCGTGTTTATGAATGGTAGATAGGACCGTGTAAAAAATTTGTGAGTAACCAGCCGTGTGTGTGGGAGCATAACAAAAGAAGGCACAGACTAGAACTGGTTTTATATTCAGGCCAGCATGTAGCATTGTCTAAATTTCAATGTAGCCAACTCTTGGGTTACAATCTTTATTTAGGGGATATAGTAATATTGCTGGGGCAAATGCAGGGGGCGCAGACTGTGAGATCGCTCCCCCTAAATTGTATTTAGAAAAATAATTGTTGTATTATGGGACTATTTTTAAGGTATTAGGGTGCAATTTCCGGGTACCTTGAGGTTTCATATTCTCAAACTTTTCCCACCTCAGCCTCAACCATATGGTGGGGCTGAGGTGCTGTGAACTTCCATGCACCCACTACCGTCAAATCCTGCATCTGACCCAGTATCAAAGCATCTAGAGCATATGTCCCGATCTTAGCTTATGACCACGAAATACAATAATTAATTCGAATGGCAGGCTATGTTGTTGGGTCAGTTCACTCTACTAAAATGAAAAACTCTCGTCAGATATTGGTAAACATATCCTTTATGATTTAAGAACGAGGGAAGAGAGAAACGAAAATGATAATCCCCACTGACTCTTTACTTTCCACATCCCATTGTCACCACCATTTTTTTCTTCTCTTTTGTGGCAAAAACCACCACATTTATTCATCAATATCATAAATCATATTTTAATGTATACATTTACAATTGATTTAGGTCCTAAAGAAATTGTATTTCGTACATTTCCATTACCATTACCAGTTGATTGTTGCGATTTTACATACGTGATGGATTGCAGTCAGAATACAGAAGTATTTTAGTTGGTTCCTATTATTTTAAAAACTATTTTTACACAAATAATAATTACCACTTGTAAAGTACTGTATATTAATAATAGTAATTACAAAGTTATAACATCTAATTTTATAGCTCCATGACTAAACACATTGTAACTGGAGATTGAACTAAGATAAGAGGATTTTTTTTTTTTTTTTTTTCGGGGGATGGGAGTGTGTACACATCTTTGTATAACAGATTCCATCTTGTAGGTATTAGTTTTGATGAATTGTTTCCATTTCATAGTTTAAGTATAGATGGCCTATAATTGTTTGCATTATTAAATTCAATTAAAGGTATCGAGTAAATGAAATTTAAAGACATGGGTCTGCTGCGTCGCGTCCGACACCATAAGTAGTACCAGAAATGGCAACGCATAGAATGCACCCTTTAAAATTTTGCGTGCCACCCTTTAAATTTTTTGGAAAAAAATTTCTGAAATTCCACCACTCCTTAAAAAAATCCTGGCAAGAGGGCTGTTATTATTAAAAATTTAAACATTTTTTTTCATCTGTGTTGAGAAAATGACTCAGATATTTTTGTGAACATTTGTGAGAAAGAAACTACTAAGATATCTTTTTTTTTGTATTCGACAGCTGATATTGAAGAAGATACAGAAGATTTCCTATTTTCCTCTGAAGTTATAGCCACTGTCAGCCTTGTTATGCAGGTAAGTTATACAGTAGTAGTATTTTATCCAGGAGCATATATTGGTGTATCATGGGATTTGAACTTACCATCTTGGGATTAGAAAACAAGCACCTTAACATGCTACAGCATTATTATTATTCACTCATTATTATCATTTTGAGCTACTTTCTGTGTTTTGGCTTAGTATACCTGTGTATTTGTTCACATTGTTTGTATCCTAATGAAATAAATAAATTTAATAAATGCAGGATACATTAAACAATGTAAACAATTGCAAAGGCATGTACAACCAATACTAAAATCCCAATGCAACTTGATAAGCATTGGTTTAAAGGCATTAGTATGGTTGAACTCAATGCTGTTAGATGTATTTTTATAATATAATTTATAAATCTTTAAACAAGTATATCTCACAAACTTGGTGATTATTTCTTGTTACAGTCCCATGCCAGCTCAAGAGAATTACAAGGTGCTGCCTGTTTACTCTTGAAAACCTTAGCCCTAAGCGGTAAGTTGTGGATATTTTTACTATGAATATTAATTTTGCATTAGTATCATGATTTAATATACAATATTGCCACCTGGTCTGTGTTTTTGTCTCACAGAATAGTGACATCAAGTAAATATTGTTACTATTATCTTCCCATTAATAATTTCTCCTGATATAATTTAGTTGCAGACTGTGTGTGGTGATTACTGGGGTATTTTTAGAGGATAAAAGATAATTAATTTTAAGTAGAGTGGGTGTTCGGTAGTATTCACGTGTCAGGCCATGTGCATTACCCACCTACAATCTGAATACTGTATGCATTGCTAGAGGAGTAATGAGTCTTTGACAAGTCTCATGCATTGATTTGTTATTGTTTAAATGTTGTATACCTACCATAATGTAATGTAGTTTGATATATATAGCGCTTTATACCAAAGTCTCAAAGCGCTCGCGGTGTGAATTAGCTCGTACATTAACTTGCTGCTCCCCTAATCCCCTGTCTGAGATTCCCGGTAAACCAGTACCAGCTATCTCTTGTCCACAACAGGGTACTAGTACACCTGGTTAACCTCCTCATCTCGAAATATGTACTGGGTTCTTTAAAAATTAGCTCATACATTAACTTAAAAATGCAAATGAGCCAATTTGTGTACACTGGGCCTACAGTTTGTAGTCCTTATCTGAGAAAACATGTTCCGTGCCGTTTCAAACAGTGCCGATATCATGGTCTTGAAGTCAGGGGTTCAAAACCTTTTGCTGTGCAAGTCGCTATCCACGTTGTCTCTCTGTACACTGGAGTAAATGATGCTACATGAAGAGGTTTGAGTGCAAAATGCGCTGATATATTTCATGCACGAACTACTCCCTCCATAGGCTTGGTTCCAATTACTCAGATAATAATGTGGAAAAGTGCTCTGAGACTTAGTTTTGTAAAGCGCTATAAGAACCTACATATTGATATGTTTCCCATCGCAGCCCCATCAACTTTCCCATATCAATCAAGTTCGTAGTATATATGCCACAAATGTGCAACCTTCTCAACTCCTTGAAGGAGTACTGAAATACATTTAATTTTACAATCCTTTCATTTTTATGAATTCTCTGAAAGAAATGATAATAGATCGACAGAACAACTGTTTTCAAAGCCTCTTTTAAGCATTATCATTAGATATATGAATTCACAGCAAAATAATATGAAAATAATTCAATATAAAGATATGAATACACAAAGTATTTATAAATTATGTTTGAATGAAATCTACAAGTCAATAAAAAGCTTTTAATGGTCATCAAACTGCCCAACTACATTCCAATTGACATGCAGTTATTCATTATTAAGGAGGACAAGTCAAATTGAGGATGGCATTTCAATTGTTGTTTACTTGGTACATTCGCGAGTAGATGATGATGAATCATTTTTCCGGGGCGGTCAATGGGTCTTTTTCAAAGAACCTTTCTAATCTTAATTTCTTCCTAATTTGCACGCGTGTCTACTGCACTGTACCCTAATGTGTGCAATGTTATTATATGTTGTGACGTAGTACATTAGCATTAACTTTAGCCGCAGCAAGATTTCTAAGCTGTCTTTATTCTATTTTTAGCATTTTGCAGATGTTTTAAGCTGATAAGTAGAAGGCCGCATTCCAAAAAATCTCCTCTCATTTATTACCTCATTTATTACAATATTCTTCTCTTTTCTTTTATTAATCCACAACCATTTGCTTAATTTCTTTTAGCTGTTTTCTTGTTTTCTGTAATTTTTTCCCATGACTCATTTATTTACAATGTTAACATAATCCCTTTCATATGTTATAAACTTTATCAGCCAAAGAAAAGTTGGATTTATAAAGATAAATAGTTAAATTGCTGTTTACAGCTGTCTTTTTTAAAAATCTAATTTATCATTTAAACTTCATTCTTCTTTTACTTACATTCTGTAATATTCTTTACCTTGATTATATTTTACTTCTTTCCCTTTATTCTTCTCTCATGCTAAAGTTGACATTATTTGCTTCTGATTTACATCTCTCCTTTTTGCATTATTTGCAATATTATAACTTACTTTCTTTTTATATTCATTTATTATATTCTTTACATCAATATTAACATTATTCCTTTTTTCAAATTATCAAATTTTATATACGTATTAGCTATTTGTATAATTTTTTTTTAATCTTCCATTTTCTTCCCTATATTTATCTTTTTGTTTTTATAATTCCAATATTGTCTGCCTCATTTATCATGTTTTTTTCTTGGATTTCTCATTTTCCAAATTTATCAACATATCACTTTCTCACTTTATGACTTACGTTTCCTGTCTATTAAAGTGTTGACCCTTTTCCATTTAATTCTATTTTTTTTCTGTGGTATTTATTTTTACTTCATTGTCACATTATTTTGTTAATATCCCCTCATTTAATACCTTCAGTTTAATTTCGTCAATTTCTCTGCCTCATTTATTAATGTACCTCGCTATTTGTAAAATTTGTTTTACCCTTCCATTTTCTCTTCGTTATTTTTAATTCTAATATTGTGTGCCTTATTTCTCAACTTTTTTTCTTCTTTTTTATTTTTCATTTTCCTAATTTATTAACATATCACTTTTCTCATGTTATTACTTAGATTTCCTGCCTTGCATGATACTTTCCCTTTAATTCTATATTTTTTCTAGTATATTTAACTACTTTAATTAGGCCTAATTGTCATTTATGTTATTGCCTTCAGTTTAATTCCGTTGATTTCGCTACCTCATTTATTAATGTACCATTCTATTCTCCATCACATGGCACCAAGTAATAATATTTTATGTGTTTGTTTTTTCCAGAGGATGCTGCCGGAAAGATAGGTTTAGGAGGCGGCATACAAGACATTTTATCGGCAATGAGATCATTCCCTGGTGATGCAACTATTGCAGCCAACTGTGCAAGCGCTCTCTCATGTCTGACAATAAATGGTGAGTGTTCTAGGATATTACATAACTTTAACCGCTGCATCATCAAATTGCATAAAATTGATTACACTATCCTCTAAAATACATCCCTCTCAAGATTTGAATTAGCAAGTGTATGAATAGGCTATCAACTGTTCAGCTGTGTCCAGATTATTAAATTTTCTGTGGCAAAAAAATTATTGTATGTCCATATATAGTCATGATGCCTATATATGGTCATGATGTGATGTCATCATGACCATATTTAGGCATTGTCAAATATAATTTGTTAGTGTGGACATTCCTTAACATTTGCCACAAAAGCTAATGTGATGGCACATTTTAAGCCCATATTCATGTTTTAATTCCCTTCCAATGGTTAAGCATCCTAAGTTCTTAATCTCCTGTTGGGAAATGCAATTAATGCCGCACTTACCCTATAATTGTGCCTGTGACAGCCACCATAATCTTATGAAAAAAGAGAGCTAAATAAATATCAGCCCCTTTGGGATATTTTGTGTACATCACACACTGTTTTGTTCAATTATTCAAAGGACATTATTCGAATTTCATGAGTCCATAGAGAAATGGAAAATATAGATCCAGCTCGAGGCTGGGTTGTTGCAAGTCATGTGTAATGCTGATTACTTCGTTTTAAATATTTGTTCTCAAGTTAATCATCAACAATATGTAGAGGGGATGTGCTTAGTGGTTTATGTCTCTGCCTTCCAATCTAAAAAAATGTTGTGTGTTTGATTCAAACAGCTGATGGTCTTTTTGTCTCCGCAGCCGAAACCCATAATCCTTTTATAATTGAAGATAGCTTTATTGATCCCTTAAGTATATAGTCTTTTATATCCATCTTAATAGTTAATGATAATGCAATAAGTGCATGAATTATAAACTAATATACAAATCATTCATTGAATTTATGGTGGAGTTCTTTAAAGATGGTGATTGCAACCTATCCACGATTTTTCTTGTCCAAGCTTTTCTACATCAAGATTAGTACACCATGAATATTTTCTAAGTTCTAAATTTTAGACTTATTTGTTGGTTAATCTTTTGGTAATGTCTGTAGTACACAGGAGCAAGGCTGGTCTTCTGGTGTACTGTCCAAATTACCAACAAATAGACCAAGCTTAAAGTCGTAGTTCAGATATTCTATTCTTTTTATATCCTACTGCTTTCTTGTATGCATTGGTGGTGTGGTTGCACTGTATCGTGACATATTCAAGTTTGATTTGCATTGACACTTCCTCCTTTATACCTGCTTAGCGAGAAAATAGCCAGAAATATTTTGATTTCAAAAGGATAGACTGTTCTATTTTGTACCATTAAGCATACAAATTAAGTCAGCTTTTCGCTTCAAAATTAAGTGTTCATATGTTTGTGGACTTAAACCTTCATGTGTTCCGTATTGTTAAAATTCAAACCCATACAAATGAATATAAAATTCAAGCTTCGATCAAACACTTTACCATTTTGGTCATAGGAATATATAAATGGTTGAACATTATTTTATACTACTTTACTCAGTGTGTAAGAATTGCGTGGAAAACATAATGCATTTTTGTTCACTTGTAATCGATTGAATGCCATCAAAATAATGAGGAACTATAATTTAGATAGTAAGTTAATCGATATAGATTGCCTACACATGGAAGTATTGCATCTCCAGTGACTTGTTTACTAAATTAAATCTGGTACAGGGGGAATAGAGAACATTTTACTGTGATGTTTCCAATATTTTTGATCAAAACATGTTAAAGGGTTTGTGAAAGCTTAGAAGTTCATTTTTTTAAGTGAATAAAGATGTAAAGTAATATTAAGCATTGATTGGAACTATTAAATATAATAAAATTAAAACAGAAAACAAATCATTCTCTGGGTACATTCTCTCTACTTGAAACCTTGCATCAACAGACTTGTTAGTCCTTTGCAAGATAAACCATGTGAACACAGGTATACAATTAGATATTCACTATAAACTCATTTTGTCTGATCTTCCCTGAGTTTTCAGTTTTATTCCTTTCAAATTTGAATAAAGGCATAATGTAACTAACATAGCATGAACAAATTTTAAATTTTTCATATTCATAATTCAGAAGTTTATTTCACTCAAAACTCAAAACGTAACGAATCTGGTAGGCAAAAAAGGGAACATGTCCCTATACAAGATGTCTATCAGAGAAACAAAGATAATGACGACATAATAATAATAATAATCATAATAATCATAATAACAACAATGCTACTTTCTCAGGGAAATTTTGCAGAGAAACAAACTGCCGAGAACTTGGTCACAGTCATGTTGAGTGCTTTAACATTCATTCTTAATGGCAGTCGAAAACAATAGTTGACATTTATGGAGTAGGTAATTACGATCACCAGCCTCTAGTAGAAGACTATCGTTTGCCATCAGGCTAGTTATGAGCTTACACTATGTGTCAAAAACAGGTTGAAGGGTTTATTAATCAAAATAATCAGGCCTAGATAAACAAAAATTATTTTTGTAAATTTCCCCCAGCAACACTAACTGCCTAGAAATAAAAAAGAAATTGATCTGGGAACAGGCGTGATGTGTCCAACCACACTTTTACCGGCCCTGGTAATTATTCTAAATTGATATCTCATGATATTGGTTAATCAGTATTTATGGTATTAAATTAATAAGTGCAGGTCTTCCTCCAGTTAAAGCTTTACTATGGTTCCACATTTAACAATTAAATGTCTTATTTTTATTATTCTAATTAGAGACCAACACTGCTAAAGACTATTGAAACCCTGGTGTTAAAAGCGGTCTTTATTTAGAAGGGGACCTGTATAAATGTAATCAATTTTTTTTTAGTGTTGAATATGTTGCAATTACATATGTTTGGTTTTTTTTCTTTGAAATTCCATCAAGAATTTTTTGTTACCACTTCCAATTTTATAATTGCTTTTTCTTTTTTTAATCTTGTTTCAGACAAAAACATAGAGATAATGCGAGAGGAAAAGGGAGTAATGGATTTAATGAATGTGATGCGAGAACACGGCTCATCCGCCTCTGTCATTGATTTTGCCTGCTCTGCTTTATGGGGACTTTCATTAGAAGGTAGCAGATATTTTAAAATATTCCTATGAAATATCAATATTATATATGATGGTACACTAGCTGCTTGCGTTTGTTTTTTATACTGAACATATAAACCAGTGTTTGGAACAGTAGTATGTATTGTGGGAGTAAGTTTGTAGTACTCACAAATAAATGTAATCATTGGTTCTATAATTCCTGATGGGTGATGGAGGTGAGGGTGATAGGGTGATGATGGTGAGACTTTTCAAATTGAATTGGTGTAGGGATGATGGTGGTGGTAATGATAACGATATGTTATTGTTGGTATGATGGTAATAATGGTGATTGTTGTGGTAATGACCTGATAGTGATAAAGGTTGATGGTATTAATGATGATAAATGATAAAGGTTATAAAGATTATGGTGGTGGTAATGAATGAATGGTGATAATGGTGATCGATGATGGTTGTGATGATGACTGATAATGGTAGTTGTGATGATGTAATGATAATGGGTGATTGTGGTAATGATACTAATCCTCAATAATATTTTTTTTTCATTTCATTTATTTTGTCTCAATAAAATACATAAAAAACAACAACCGGTTACAATACAACAAAATAAAAGCATAAAAAATCTGAAACAGGCCGAGACAGGATTCCTAAAAGTGAACCAAATCAGTATCATGTAGGTCTCCTAAAGCACTATTCCAATTACACATAAAATAATAATAAAATGAACAATTAAAATAATACTTAAAATCTGTAAAATTTGCGTTAACAATAAATATATATATATATAGAAATATTATGTACTCCATTCACAATCACTGGATATTATATCATGTTACAAATGCCATTAAATCAATATAAAGTAATGTTACTTTACAGATGAGAATGTAGAGATGATGACAGATGCCGGTGCAACTGATCTTCTACTGGATGCTCTTAAGACTCACCAGAAGGTATAGTACACCTACTTATATCAATGACATCATCATTATTATCATCCTCATCACTATTATCATCCTCATCACTATCATCCTCATCGTCATTATCAACAACAACAATACATGTAGATACATCATTTGATAATGTTATCACCCTCATCAAAATCATCATCATTTTCATCCTCATCATCTCATCATCAATTATCATTATCATCCTCAACACTGTCTTTTAAGTACACAGTACAACAAATCATTGATACTCTAACACAGTTTGTGGGTGCTTCAAGAAAGAGTAGATGTTGAGTCACTAGTGTGGAGTAGATTATTAATGGTGCATTCATCACTATCTACAACAACATTTGAAATAACAGATATTTGTTTCATTGTCCCCCAGTTACTGCTATAATTTTTGTGTTTGACGATACTAGCAGAGAGTGAGTGAGTCAGCTCAGCATGTTAACATTTTACATGATTAGCAGGATTAATGTGGGTGGCACTAGATCATTGCATAAGCTTGTAGGATGGCACTTGGATTACAGTAATCGCAGTAATCAATTTTTAAATATATTTTTATTGCCATTATATTTTATTTTACTGCCATGACTCGTACAATAAGCCTACCTTATTTCTTTTAGAATTAATTTTCCTCAAAAGTTACCGGGAATGAAAACAAATCGTAATTCAAAGTAAAATCGCCAAAGCATAATAAAATGACTGAGTGAAATAATATAATCAACCGAATGTTTATATTTTTGTGTTGGTGGGTTGCAACTGATAGGCAGTCAAATTAACTGTTATTTCCAGATTTGTGTGGGAGGCATGTTTAGTCTAAGCATAAAATACACTGTTGGTTAAAGTATTATCAATCAACAGGCAAACTGAATTGCAGTTGACTCTGACAGAAAAAATATAAAAATTTTTGCCAAAAATCTAATCTAATTAATACCTCATGTTGACCTAGGTTGACATTGATTACAGCATACCATATTTACTGATGATTATCCCTATAAAAGAGTTACTGATATGCCATCGTCTATGCTCTAACTAAAGTCTGTTTATGCAAAGTTGCTTTAGGTTATGAGAAGAAACTGATTTTTTTTTTTAAGGAATAAGTTATAGACCCTGGGATTGGAAGCTGAGCACCTTTGCCAGTTAAACCACAGATTCCAAATCAGTGCTTAATCTACATAGACACACAGGTGTTTGTAATTCCTATTCACACCTGTTTAGAAATTTACAAGTTATGTGCATGGGTATATAAATAACTTGTAAGCTCACAGTTATATTTGTATGCATTAATAACGAATCGCTACAGTTTGGATATTTAATGGCTACAAATTAAATAATGGCTTTTAGTATCGAACATAACCTGCAGATCTTGTAGTATATTCAATAAAAATATTTTATGATGTATAAATCTGTAAATTGTCTGGTAACTTTAAATTGTCTGGTAATTTAAGAATTTCTGTATGTTTTTAATGATTAAGTTTAATATGTTCTCTGTGAGAGAACCAATATATTTTATCTTAATGTCTACCAGACGTTTATAACTATATTACAGTATTTCATTTCATTTCTTTAGGCACGAGTGCCAAGGATGTGCCAATAAGTGAACTTAATCACTGTCCTACGTGGCATATCCATCCATTAAACATTAAACAGGGGACTTAATGGACCAGTACACTGGGGTATCCCCCTACTCGTCTCGAATGATGTACTGGGTTATTTATAGTGCACACGAGCCATTGTATACACTGGGCCTACGGTTTATAGTCCTTATCTGAGAAGACTTGTTCTACCACCAGAACCATGGCGAGCGTGCCGTTCGAATCAGCACCGATACTATATCTGAAGGTTGCGGTGCCCCTGACTTAACCGCTCGGCCAATTAACTTGCCAACAGTAATAACAATAATAACAGTACTTGTTATATAAGTATGATTAGAATAACAGCAGATTTGTAAAGATGTTAATAATAATTATGTTAACATTACATAATTATTTTTAATAGTTATAATATAGTAATAATATTATTTAATTATATTTAATTTAGAGATTTAGATGTGAATTATTAATGCATTGATATGATGATGATATTTGACATAATTTAATATGTAATTAATGTTTATATAAAAGTAATGAGGAATATGAAGATAAACTTAATTCTATTACATAAGTATATATATTATTAATAGCAATAGTAAATATTCAAAATGAAGTGAAACCTTATCACAATAATAACTTATTCATAATAATCATATCTGTATTACACACACATTTATTTTGATGTATACAATTTATACTTCATTATATATTGGTAGTGAATAATACTGTGGTGCATGGTACTGTTACATGTTAGCAATAGCTATCACAGGGTTTTATACCGATAACTGACACAGAGCTAAATTAACCTTTACTACATCATAACAAATAAACTACTGAATTCTGCTAGATCCACCGACCAATTAGCGGGAAGATTAGTCCAAAGTAGCTTCCATATATATTTCTGCAAGCCTCGATAAGAGAGGTAATACTTGTGAATGATTTATGCGTGCACTTCATCGTCTTTAAACACTTCACCGTAACCGTCATCACATCAGCCGTGCTAATATTGCCGAATGTTACTCATGGTTTGTTGTTTCGTTCTGACTGCTTCTGTGATTAATTATATGATCAAATATAAAAACCTCTGAAAGCAGTGATTTTAATTTATTCTTCTGAGCTTCAAGGCTGTGTTATAAATATTACTATGATGATAGTGAATGAATAAATTGCGATACATGTGTGTTGTCATGAAACTCTGGCATTCAAGGTCTCTCTCAACCTCTCACACTCGAGAACCAAAACCTCACGCATCAATGTACAGTACAGTAGTATCACCAACTTTTTAAAAAAATGTGTGTATATAGTTTACAAAAACTGATCCATCTCTTGCAAATTCATTATGTTTGTGTTTATTACTGTATTTTCAATTGCCTTCCTGAAGGCAACTGGCTATAGGTATTTAAAACATCACATAGCAAAATACAATTAGATGTGTTAAGAAATTTCATTTTCATTTCATTTAAATAGAAGTGAGTGCCTGACTTTTAGATTTAGTCAAAATATTCTTAAATATTTCCATCTTGCATCTTAAAATATTTATTTTTGGATTTAATCTACCATCTGTTTGTATTCTTCAAATAGAAATCTAAGTATGAAAAACACTTTCTTTTGCGTCACAATAGCAAGAAGGGAAATGTGTCAAATATATTCAAATTTATTATATACTATGATTTCATGTCTTGTGGTATTATTATATCTTAATTATTATTAAATAAAGATGGGATTCATCCTTCTGCAATGATTAAAATGTAAACAACCTGCCATTGTCATTTAATGGATGGCATTGAGTGTTTCTGAACATCATTCTCTTGTGTTGCAGAATGCGGATGTTGCAAAGAATGCATGCATGGCATTGGCAAGTTTAGTTGGTGAATCCGAGGCGTGTGCATACAGTATTCTCAATTCAAGTGAGGGTGGTATGGAAACCGTCTGCAACGCATACCGCAGCCATAAGGACAACCCAGATGTGGTGGAGAATGTTGCTTGTTTCTTTATGGAACTTTCAGAAATTGGTATGTCTTCTATTCTTTTTCAGTGTTATTAATTAGCATAAAATTTTGTCAATATTTGTAGAATAATTGGGTTTTTTTTTATTAATCTTAATATTTTCCTAATTAAAACAAATCAAGTTTAGTGTCTGTGAAGTTAAATATTGTTTAATGTTTATTAATGTATTTTGTTTATCAAGATATTTCACATTTTAAAGTTGTATTGTGAACTGAATTATAATTTTAATATCTATATATATATATATTATATATAATTATCAATATTTTATGCTCACAATAATGAATAAAATGTTAGAAAAAAAAATTAGCTAGTACCACTAATGAATACAGCCTTATAATGGAATCATTAGAAAAAATATAATATGCACATAAAAATTCATATTATTCATAAATTCACTATACATATTTATTGAACAAAATCAAGAAAAAAAACCAACCAAAATGATGTAATTCATACAGACTGGAAAGCAATACACTGATACAAAAATTGAAGCCCTTTTTCAAAATGTTACTTAATTATTTTTTTTTTTCTGAAATGTCAACTGCGTTAATTTAATCATTGTTTTTTTGTTTTTTGTTTTTTTATTATATTTTCTTTGATTTAGCACTGAATCTACTTCCAACATGACATTTCACTTTGCAGTAGAAAAGTGGTTGACATTAGGTGGAGGAGATATGATGTTTTAGAGTTTGTTAATTTTGCATTCATTATTTCAGTGGTGATGCATATGTTTTTATCGGGCGTGCATATTCTCGACCTTCCTAATACACCCACCCTTTAACAACAATATTATGCAATATAAATTTTGTATTATTGGCATTGATTAGTAGTTTCAAAATTCTAATTAATTCTATGACAGTGATACAGGAATTATGTATTTAAATAATATACAAAATAGATGACACAGGCTTTTGTTTGTATTATACAGTAATTTTAACAATGATTTCATTATCATAAGATAGTTATTTTTTTTAAATTACGTATAATTTTAACTTTTTTTTTTCACTTGATGTTTATTGATCTACCAGAAACATTTTTTTTTAAAACACCAACAGTACCACAGGCTTTTGTTATTCCAATATGACATTTTATAAAGAATTATTTTAGTATGATGAAGATTTTTATTTAATATTTTGTAAAAATTGTGCTCCTTCAATGACAACTATAAGATGGGGAATTCTGAATGTTTTCATTTTCATCAGAAATGGATATACAGGCATTATGTTGATGTAAAAGCTAGACAGGAAGAAGAAGTTTGTTGAATGTCTATATAAAACTATAAAATTCTCACCACATTGGCATATTATACTTTCAACTGTCATTGACGCTTTTTCATGCATCACACATACTGTTGGGGTATTTGGTGTAGATTCATATTGCAAAGTTTCTAGTTTACTTTGTACGTTGATTTTCACTCTCAAAATTTGAACATTCCAAACTGAATAGATTGTTGTTTATCCGTAATTTCCAAATAGTCTTTACTGTTGAATTTGCTCTTATCAAATTGTGTACTCAATTTCTCTCAAGTTTGCTCTTACCAAATGTTGTGGTCAATTTCCCATCTGCTTTTTCCTTGCTGACGTTTGAGTTCAGTTTCACACCACTTTGCGTGAACATAATTTAACTTTCTGTCCATGCATGTTGTAGTTTGAATTCCAACAGTTGATACTTAGCTTGGTTCATCCAATCAAACTCAAGATAAGACAAATCAGCTGAATTATTATGTAATAATTGCAACAGAAAGTGTTATGAATCAAATACATGAGAAAGTAAAGAAGCAATTTGATCAATGGACAAAGATGTTACTTAAGAAGAAGGAAATACATTTGCAGAGGATTAGTGTTGAGAGTGGCAAGCTAACTTTATAATATAATACAGTATAAGATATGCTGGTGATTTTTTAGCTAAAATTATTTGTGTCCAGGGATAATAAATGTATGTGCTCAAAGCATGTTTCTTTTGTTTTCTTTTTAATAACAAAATTTCAGCTATTCTAAAATTGACCCTTTTATAGACCACATTTTACAATAGGTAATTTCCAAAGCCTCATTGAAAAGACAAATATATTGTGTCCTATTTGTAAGTACTGTAGTCAAAAATCCACTTCAGATGAATCACAGCAATTCTATAATACCTGAACTTTCTGATACTAGGCCTAATAACACGTCACTGATTGTATAAAAGGCTTTTGGTAATTAAGAAGTAACCAAGAATGTGCAGATGCATCCTCTTAACATTAGAGTACAGATTGAGTAGGTTTAGGCAAAGTATGTTGTCATTTTCTTAAAATATCATTTTTTCTTATTGTTATGATAACATACAAAAAAAACCAAATCTGGAGAAAAAAAATATATGTAATGATTATATAGTAATATGAAATTTCATTTGGCATCAAATATAAAATTTGGATAGTTAACCAAATTATTGTTGTCATTGTAATATTTCTGCAGCGGTTCTTTTAATTTTTATTTATAATAAATAAAGACTAACTTATTATTCAGAATCTGCTATAAATGCACATAAATTAATCACCAATAATGAAATTGGTCTGATAGGAGAAATAAATATCTATCCCATCCCACCCTATGTGTACATTATGCTGTTTTCTTATCTAGAAGACATTTCAGTCCAGTTAAAAGCTCCTAGAAAATATGATTCAATATCGATCCAGCAATGTGTATTAAATGTCAAATGGCGTACTGATGCATTGTAAAACATCTGTCAAGTCCGAGATATAAGTCATCTTAAACCTCTGGCCATAGATGATGGATATGTTGTAAAGTTTAAAATGAGAATGAATCTAGTATATGTCAATGGATTTATCGGTTCTGAATTTGATATATATTTCATTTGTGCGATCTTATTTTTTTGTACCGGGTAAATAAGGTAAATGTATAAATTTGTCATGAGTTCAGTCACGTCTCTCACATTATAAATTGAACCGGTGGAGAATGAATCTTTTGATATATTACTACAGTTATGTAACAGACAAAATCGGTGACCCCGATCTAGTATAATGGTCATATGACTATAGTATTGTTCTTCATAAGTGCGCATGATGTGCTCAGAAGCATAACAAATTTCCCAATATGGATGCAATGATTATGTAGTTTATATTGAGAGAAACTAGGAAAGCGCTAATCTCACAACGTTTAATATTTTGAGGCGAGATAACTATTTTACGAGGCAGACAGCTAAACTGAACTCGTATAACATTCTGCTGTTTTGTACACAGTAAATATGAATGCAACAACTGTGGCTTTTCTTGCAGTCAATCACACAGAATGATTATATTTGCAACAGATTATATAATTCAGCCACAAAATTTATTTTTGTGAGAATTATAGTACTTTAAGGTCTTTACTTAATCTGAGCCTGAAAGACATCAGTTGCCATGGTAATCAATTCCTGATTTATTGCATAGTCATACGTTAACATTATTTATGAGGCCCGATTGATTGTCATAGAATTAGACAAATTAAATCTAGTTTACGTCACTTTTAAATTGTCCCTCATGAGATGCAATAAACCCTATTTATTGCTTTAAATAGGGTTAGATATTAGCCAATATTGCAGCTACCTAATAATTAGGAGCTGCACTAGGGTATTGTGATTTGGTAAGACAGTGTTGGCTATGAAGTAGGTTAATGTTTTGTTATTTTATTCTTTTATTATTACATTTTTTTTTTAAATTAAAATTAATTTCTCATAGAGGCGTTGATTTATAGTGTAGTTCTACATTTTTTGGGTATTTTGATGAACGCAACATCTGTAAAATTAATATTAATAGGAAACATTGTTTCAGTCAATAGATAATGACTTTTTGATCATAATTTCTAAAGCAAAATTACTGTCTAGCTGATTTAATCTTTTTGTCATCATTTTCTGATGTCTTCTGGTGTCCTTTTCTAAGATATACAGTAAAAGAAAATATATATTCAATTTATTAATATTTTATTTACTTATGTATTTTAAATAAAAACTATAATAGTCCATAAGCAAACTTAGCTAATGATCTTTTATAGGTAAAATAATTAATTTTAAAATCACTGATTGGACACATGGTTCCCTATACAGTATACCACACACATTCATGTTTTATCTTTATCTTTGTTGTTCACACCCCAGGGGTGTATCCAGGATTTATATTGGGTGGGTTATGATCATAATTTTTTGGACCTTTTCAGTGGAAGACAGGAAAATCGATTACAGTGCCACCAGCTTGAAGCGGATGGCAGGCTCTTCAGAATTGCTGGAATTGAGATAGATAACATCACGCAATTGGCAAGGTCTTCGGACTCATTGCTAGTACCTCATCAATGCTTTTTCATTTATGTCATTGTAAAAAGGCCCTAGAAAAAAATGTCTTTGGAAAAAATGTGGACCTTTGACAATTTTGGGGGGTTGTACAACCTTTCCGACCCCCTTTGCATACACCCATGCACACTGCATGTGCCTGATTAAGCCTTGAATTGGGTTTTATGTCACATTCTTTTTATTGTTTTTAATAAAGAGTGATTCAATATTTATTGCCATCTCCTCAGTTTAACCTCATAATTTGAATGTTGTGTATATGTTTTTTTTCTTATTCTTTGCGCAATGATGTTAATAGGTTAGTAGGATGTTAATAGGAGCTTATAGGAGACATACTTCAGATTGATTTGTTGCAGTTCTTAGGAATTATGTCTCTGCCAATTGTTATCGTCAAGGATGTTATTATGTAGTCTGATGATTGTTGCCTCAAATAGTAGTTTTTTTTATTTACATTTTGTATATGTATTTTATATTTATTTTCTTTTTTTAACACATTGCATCTAAAAAATTCCTTTACAGTATTTGTTGTTATTATACATTTGTTTACAAAATAAGCTTTCCATATTTTTCTTCAATTTCAATATCTTAATTTTTTGAATTTTTCCAGATGATATGATTGATGGTTTGAAAAGTTGCAAAGTGGATGAAATTATGAAGGAAGCTAGAGTAAAGCACGCTTCAAATGAGGTAAGCTTATATTTACTACATCACTTAATGTTGTCTAGCATTCTATGGAAATATGTATTATGATTTATTTCTATGGAAATATGTATTATGATTTATTTAATCTAGTGTTGGTTATTCACACTTTAAAGCATCCCCTTCCCCACCTTTGTTTTTCTCCAGAATTATCTTGAACAAACCATATCACCTCCGCCTACCCTTCCCCGTTTTTTCTGATATCCTTTAGAGAACAAAATAAAAAGTAATAATACTATCAAGATATATACAAACAGAATTTTTTAAAGATAATAAATCTGTTTTTGAATGTTTTCATTAGTTATATTAAAACTGCTCTTGCACTACAAACATCACATTTTGATAATGAATACACTTGAGGAATTTTACACAGAAAACCCGGTGCATTGTGAACAGAAGTTATAGAAGCCATATTATGTGTTTGTTGAATTAGAGATCAATATGTTACACCCACACTAAAAGTTGAATTGGTGGCCTTTATATGTCAGTTGCTGCTCAATATGTCATCTCATAATTGAAAATAGTGCGTGCAGGATATAAAATGTGTATATACTTATTGGATTCTCCACACCTTTCTTTGGACTGAATCAACAAAGATGCATTCTAATGCTTGTATTTCTAGTGGTAATATAATATTTAAGTTCATAAATTTGGTGTATTTAATAAAGTAATATATTTTATATCATTATCATCATGAGTGAAGCATCATTCCATCATTTAATTGGTGAGCTACTTGCTGTTGGATATGAAGGAAATAAAATAAAAAATAGTGGTCATCATTATAACTGTTAACTGTTATCATCATCAACCTCATCATATTCATTATTGTTGGCTTTTCCCAGCAGAACTGGGAAAAGCCATTGTTTTCTTTCTGATTTTTTTTTCTTTATTCTTGCATATATTTTTCCTAACTTTTTGCACTGTGTTTTTTCTGGCTGCCACTTTGGTCACTTCCCATTCTTAGAATTTGTCCATGCTTTGCCGAAGCATAGGCCATATATCAAGGATGTGCCTCCTAATATTTAGTGTCAATCTATGGTGGGGTGTGCGTGTGGAGACCAATTAAAATGATTTAAGGTCAAACAGTCTACACTGGATATTTCAAAAACTGGTCAGGTGATCTGAATGAAACTTATGGGAAACTTTAATCAAGTTACAAGGAAGAAATTTTAGTGACGGTCCAGTGAAGGGTGTAAATTTGAGGGCCTTTTCAATTTTTGAGTACCCAGACCTAAATATCTCTTTAAAAAAAAACAATGGGCCTAAATAAAACATTATATAATACTTCTTGTAAAAAAATAATTAAATTTTTGTGACGATCCGTAGTATGGTGTGGATCTGAGGATCATTGAAAGGAAAACGTCCCAGACCACATATTTCAAAAACGGATCTGAATGAAAAATTTGGAAAAGGTTTAACCAAGTCACAAGGAAGAAATTATTATGTGTTGGCGACGATTCAGTCAAGGGTGTAAATTTGAGGACCATTTCAATTTTTTGAGGACCCAGACCTAAATATCTCTTTAAAAAAATCTATGGGATAATTTAAACCTTGTATAACAGTTTTGTACCATTTAAAGGAAAACGTCCCAGACCAGATATTTCAAAAACGGGTCAACTGATCCAAATGAAACTTTCAGGAAAGTTTAACCCGAGTTAAAAGGAAGATATTATTATGTGACGACCCGGGTTAGGGTGTGAATTTGAGGGTCATTTAAATTGCTTACGTCCCAGTTATGGATAAAAATGAAACTTTGCAGAATAGTTTTTCATGGTGAAATGAAGAAATATCCAGTTTTGGTGACGATCCGCAGTAGAATGTGGATATGAGGACTATATTTAAAGATTTTTTGTTGACAGTTGATTAAATTATTTTAACGTAATTTGCATTTTCTATAGCGCTTAAACCAGTTACAGATAGGTTAAACTCAAAACTACCGTGATATGCATGAACAATTTTTGCTTTTAGTCACTGAATCGCTATGAACTGAAAATGCACTTTCCTATGCAAGGTCGGCTCATATAGCGCGCAATGGTTATGAGTCATGATGTACCTCTCTATTACCATTGTAGCCATAGTTCAAGTCTCACTAATAACCTTGCGGTGAACTTGGATTTCATAGTTTTTTTGTTTTTTTTCCCCCAACTTAATAATTTGTATAGTACTATACGTATTTTTGTTTTCCGTGTTATTTCTGCCATAGAAATTTCAACTAAGTTTAAAGGAAGACATTTTCAAATTTCTGTGACGAACACAATATTGAGGATGAGCATATTTAAGTATTTTGTCATTCTAAATATTAATAAAGCAGAAATTGAACTTCCATGTAAATGTGATTTTCATTTTGTAAAGTGTTTCAAACCCGCTACTAGGTACACAAACAAAATTGAAATGCATTTAAATTCGAGTCTCACTAACGTTGCAGTGAACTTGGTTTTCGTTGTTTTTTTTTGTTTTTTTGTTTTTTTTCCACTTCATTAAAATTATATTGGTTTTCCATGTTTTTTTTTACTTTATACCTTTCAATGACTTTTCTTTTTGTTGCAATTTCAACTTCATTTCTCATTAAAGCAATGGGGAAAAGCCCTATGTTCTGTTGTTCAAACAGACATAGTAAGTCAAGTTATTATTATAATTGTCATCACAGTTATTATCAATCTCATAAGCATTACTAACAGCATCATTGTCATTACTCACCATCATCGCTTTTTGACACCACTAACAACCTTACCATTATTACATCATTATTACCATCATCGTCATCATCATCATCACATATGATAATCATTATCATCATGATACAATGTAAAAGCTGACCCGCACTATGATGTCTGATCATCCGTCCATGCTTTGTAAGTTCCCATACAGCACTATGTCAGTCTGCTGATTCTCTGTTGCCATCTGAGACGGATCAATGAAGTGTGTGTTGTCACTATGGAATTTCATTGTTCTGCCGTCAATCAAGTTCTCCGAGCCTGCATTGTTTGTAGACATTATGTATTTATTCTTTCCTGATTAGCATCATTTAATATAATTGACATTATCACACTTAATGCTTTTCTGTTTTTCTACCTTAAACAATCAAAGGATGTCACATGGGAGCACCCTAATGGCCAATCTAAAAATGTCTTAATTCTTTCGTGTCACTATGTATTTATGTTAAATATCCATTATATACCAAATGGCATCGTTGTTCTTATTATTATCCTCTACTGATTTGCATAGGAACAGTGTTGTAAACACTGGTCTATATTTTCTCATCAAATGATGTCACATACCTTGAGCTATTGAAGACCATTGTGATGTAACAATGCAAAACGTGCGTCTGATGTATGTACCTAAAAATAGAAATATGGACTCTGTAATTCTGATGAACTTTATAATATTTCTTAATATAATTTAAAATCAGCATCGGATGCAAACTGGAAGTTATATCAAAGGGAAGTAATTGCTGCCCACTCATTTCTCAATCTCCTCTCATAACATTCTCTTTGGCATCACTCCCCTTTTATCTTTCTATCCAATCCTTCCTCTTCCAGCTTCCCGTATCTGCCTTTTTTTTTCATTCTTTTCCTTTTTTTCTACATATCCTTTCTCTTTTCCCCACTTCATCTTTCTGTCAACTCCTTCCTCTTCCTTCCCACATTCTCCTTAACCCTCTCTTTCACTACTATGAACTGAAGATCAGTTTTTTCTCCTCGATTCTTTCCCCCTACTCATTCCTGTACCTACTTCATTTTCTCTAATTTCTTCCACCTTTTTCTCTTCTATTCCATTCAGCTTTATTTGATTTCATTTAATCGTGTTTTATTAATCAATTTATTTTAGGAAATCATGGGCTATGTTCAGTCAGTACTAGCTAAACTTGGAGTTGGCAAGGCCCCAGCTTCAAGACCGGTGTCTGCCAGAGTCAGGAACAAGTGAACAAGTACAATGGATGAAATACCGCCCTCAAGGTGTTCCTGTTCCCAACTATTCTTCCTCTTTCATCTCAATCAGCATTATCTTTTTTTCATTATTATAAGTTCATGAGACTCAAACCATACAATATAGGAAGCTTAGACATTTCATACTTATTATTTGTTCCTATGTTATCCTTATTTTCATTGTTTTTATGTTTATAATAATTATTGTCATTTTATTATTATGATACTTGGATTATTACAACAAATTATCTTATTCTACTATAAGTGCTTATTGTTATTGTTGTCATTTTTATTTTTTGTTATTGTTGATTGCTATTGCTTCTTAGAATAAGTGCCTATAGGAAAAATATAAATAAGAGTATAAGGTAAGTAATCAACTTTAATGATATGCATATTTGTAATGATATCTTTCACAAGGCTACCATTTTTATATTTGATATTTGCATAACTTTGGTGTAGTTTTTGTTGTTAAAGTTAATTATTTTTTACCATATCATAATAAAAACAATAAAAATTACCATTTAAAAAATTAATATTGTTGAGTAATAGCTTAATTTAAAAGCTTCCATTAAGGAACCATCTTAACATTCCATTCCAATTTTCTCTAATTTTGACCTTAACTTGTTTTTAAGTTAATTATTTTTACCATACAGTAGTAAAAACACGATAAAAATATTTATGTCAAAAATTTTAATATTGTTGAGTAAAAGATTAATTTATATAGTGTTCCATCAATGAATCATTAGAACATTTAACTTTCCGTCCAATTTTCCTTAAAGTTTTAAACTAATTTTCTCTGTATATATATATGCA